ATCTTTAAGATAGTTGTGCTAAAGTCTTTGTATAGTAGCTGTGGCTTTAGTTTTTTTTTTTTCCCTTAGAATGTGCCATGATTTCCTTACAGATTTTTTTTTTTTTTTTGGGTGCTGGGGATTGAACTCACGACCTTGTGTTAACTGCTGAGTTAAACCCCAGCCCAGCTTTTTCTTTTTTGAAGCTAGACATTTGTACCCAATAATATAGCAACTCTCAAAATAAGACTGCCCCCATTCCCTAATAGGGAGAAACATTTTGTTTTTGATATTTGTAAGCTGCGCCCTAAAATCAGGCTGAGGGAGAATTTGGTCGTCTTGAGTTTTTCCTGAACCTGCAGGCATCTTCTTACATTCCCCACACACGCAGCTGTCCCTGGTGTTTAATGTTCGGCTGCCAAAAGGAAAGCAAGAAAATTGTGGGAAGGGAGGGGCGAGAAATGCCCTTTAGGTCCCATGCAAGTCACTTCAGGCAGAACAGAAGCTACCTGCAACAGGAGGATGACCAATGGCCATCTGTCTTTGACTTCTGCTCAGAAGGTTCAGTCAGCAACCAAAGCACAGATCTCTGATACCTGAGGTCAGGGTCTTTTTTTGCCAAGCTTGACTCCTGAAAGCTGTGTGCGAGGAGCTCCAGGAACCTGAGCACAGCTGCTTACATGGATCAAAATTAACTGCTTCGGCTGTTCAAGCTTTCCCCTGGAAACTGCAAGCCTCTCATAGATGCCAGAGTTCCAAAACAATTACAATAGTCTCCTCTTACCCATAGGGATGTTTCAAAAATCTCAGTGTATGCTTGCAATCAGACAGGACTGAATCTTGTATACACTGTTTTCCTATATATAAACATACACCAATTCAATGGCCTTTTTAAAAATCTTAATCAAGCACTTATGAACTGTAGTTGCAATTTTGCAGTTTGAAAGTGAAGTTAAAAATTTCTTAATTTCCTGGGTTTTTATTGTAGATTTGTTTTTTTTTTTTTAAGTAGAGAACTTTCATCTTTTCACTTAAAGGAAACATTTTACAGCTTGTTTGGCATTTCTAAATTTCCACCATTTTCTACTTTTATGTACTGGGGCCACCAGCTGAGTGAAACAAGAATTACCTGAACAGAAGCACCGTGCTTCAATGACAGATTTGAGAAGCAAGACAACTATGATGCGAGTGCGAGGCAGGTTGCCTATGCAGCACGATGCCCACGGGATGGGGCGGTGTGAGAGTTCGTCCTGCTACTCAGAACAACTTGCAGTTCAGAACTGGGTGCTTCCTACTCTATTTTCTGCCCCAGTCCTCTTCCGTGGCTGGTTTGATTTTGAAATTACGACAATCACCATGGAAGGAATACGTTTAGGTGGACATGTTCAAAGCCAATAGAAGGAAACCAGGAAGAATGCAAAACAGTAGAGAGAGAATGTGAGCAAAATTAACAACTTAAGAATGAAGAGTAAAGGTTAAAAACTGATCCACTTTCAGGTCCTAGTAATAAGAGAAAAATAATGAATATTTTTAACCACCATCAAAAAACTTTCAAATTTAGAGACCTTGCTTTTATTATAATCACTTTCCCAACAGTAACTGCCTTTTAAAGATCTAAAATCAGTTTTAAGATTTGAGACTTATTTGGCTTTTTAAGTAAAGTGTGAGGATGAACCATATGAAATTGCCATTTTACAGGTCAAATCATTAAATCCTGACAACTTCATGCAGCTAAGATCCTCTGACTGAAGAACTCTGACAACATGGAGCTACTTGTTGGTTACAGGAGAGCTGGAAATACCAGCCGGTTTATTCAGCATTCAGAGATGCTCTTTGATTGTTTAAGTTACCTTGTTCTGTGTACGCTTTCCAAAAGTGCTGTTTTATGGTGTTACATCTAATTTCATAAAAAATAACAACCACTGCATCACGAGTCTTTAGAGGCAGCCTTTAGAGTCTTTAGAGGAAGGTCTATTGTTTGTGTTTTAAGCGGTGACAGTACTAGAACATATGTGAGGGTTTCTCATTTGTTCCTAAATTTGAGAAAGGAGGAAGGTCAAGTTTTTAGCCTTAGAAATTTGGTTTGGATCATAGGAACCTGAGTCAAAGATGAATGTTTTACTAAATACAGAGAAGGGAGTCTGGGAGGTAGGTCTTACAAATTTCACTCTAAAGCTTTTTATACTACACTTTGTAATGAGGATATCACATTTTTATAATAAAAAAGCAGACAACTTCAGGTTTAAACTCAGATTAGTTTGATGAGTAACCCGATCAGACACACAGAAAAAGACAAACATTCCCCAAGATACTTATTTAGAACAATCCTGTTAAGTATGCTACAGGCTGAAATAGTTAAGCTTTTAACTTGATACTTCAAAAGTAACACGTTATGGGTTAATTATCTTTGCCGTTTTAGTCACGACGTCGCATTTATGAGATGCAGTAACTTACAGAGCAGGGTTTCTCAATCTGAGCACTCACATTCTGACAAGGCAATTCTTTGTTGAGGGGGTTTGTCCTATACTCTACATGATATTCAGCAGCATCCCTTGCCCCTCTCAACTCCCCCAATTTTCTTTTTTATACTAGGAATCAAACTATCTCACATTTGCCAAGCAGGCAAAGCTAAATCCCTGCCATCCCACCCTACCCCCACAATTGTGACAAGCAAAACTTTCAGACACTGATAAATATCTCCTTGGGGACAAAATCACTTCCAACTGAGAACCAGTAAGTAGCTCAGAGAAGGAAATTTATTACATGTTGTTAATTTAGACTTTGCCTCAGGGCCTGGTATTTTATTTTAGTATTCGTACCACGTAACACTAATGAGCTACCCGGGGTGGCTGAGAGTAAACGGTCACTCATTTTCTGCCTAGGAGCACAAACGTGCATTATAAACAAAACACAATGGAAATTTAGGTTGAAGATTAGCTTACCTAAAAAATCAAATGCAAAAACAAAAAATACTTGAGCTACATTGTAGCAACATAAGCTTAGGGTTCATATTGGGATTGTGTGATTCAATGAAGTTTTGAGAGACTGAGTAATGACAGTTTGTGATAAACGATCACTGAATCTGGCCCAATACTATGCTGGAGTCCTAGCCAACTAAAATTAAGAGATTAGATACAAAAATTAGAAAGGGATAGATAACTGTCCTTATTTGTAACTAAGGTTGATTCCAATAGAATCAACAAACTATTACAACCAGATAAAAGAATTTCCAAAAAGTTGTAAAAACCAGTAGCATTCCTTTAGATAGTATTAATCAAGAAAATGTAATAAAGTCTCAGCTAAAAACAAAAATTTCTTTTGGCAAAACAGACGATTCTCCATGACTCTAGTTGAAAGAGCAACTATCTCCATTTTGGATAAACTTGGCCCTATCTCCATGAACTGATGTGTGCAGAGCTGGCTAGGCTATTTCTTTGTCCTTTCAATTGGCTTTAAACTGGGTTGGCCGGGGAGTTGATGTGTAATCTTTGAAGAAGGGTGACAGTTGCTGTTTCCCTGCCTGGGGACTCCCCAAATATGTGGTTGACTGGAGATCTGTGCTGCTCTATGCTGTAAACTGGGACTGAGCCTTGAGAAAGAGGCTGACTTCCTAGGGCAAAAAAAAACTGTATCAGAACTGAAGCACGGACCCCAAATCATTGGATACTACCTCAGCTGTGTTATGCAGATTACTCTCTGCACTCCTTGCCCTATGCATGTCACAGAGGTGATCTCAGACCTCCCATCTAGCCCTGCTCATGGCAGGCACGTACTTCCCACCATGCTGTCACTCACACCCCAGCCACTCCCCTCACGGAGAATTAAAACCTGGGGTGGGCCCTGGGTCACGGCCAATGTTTCGGAGTCACTGGAAGTCTTGACTGGACTTCGGACCCCCTCGGCTCCCCGTAACTGTGTACGGGCCCTAGTGTCTTTAGTCTCACCCTGGGTTGCACTGGGAGTGGTAGAATGGAATCAACTCACTAGAATTCCAGTAACTTTTCCCCAGGATTACAGGTATCAACCTTTCGGGACTGTGATGAGGATGGTAAAAAGATCTCTGTAATTTATATAAATATGCACTAATGAAAGATGCCCCAGATCACAACAGAGGAAATTTTAAAGCATTAAGGAAATTAAAAGCTCATAAATGGAGGTGTTTGTTATAATAAACCTTCAAAATGCTGAAATTAAACTATGAACCAAAGCAATTCCAATTAAAGTCACAGTATTTTCATTGAATGTTTCAAATTGATTCTGTACTTTATAGGAAAGATGAGTCAAGAAAGTTAAGGTAATTTTGAAGAACAATCACTTCATTAGGCATTTAGCGGTCTAGCAACGAGGACAACATGGTATTAGCTCAGTGACACACGACTGAGCAGTAGTAAATGGGACCTAGAAACTCAAGCCTACTTGGGAACTGAAGAATGACAGACGGCCACTACGTGAGGTGAAGTCGCACTGACCACACTGGAGAAATGTCTCTCTGTTTTGGTTCCTGCAAAGGAGTAAAGAGAATTTTCAAAGGCCACTTGGGGGTGAGTGAATTGTTATACAGGGCATTCAGTTCAGGGATAGGAGATTCCAAACCATGTAGAGGCCAGGTTCATGAGGTAGGATGTAACCAACACCCCAGCTGATGACTCAACACCAGTTATTTCTGTCCTACTGAAAGCTTCACAGGCTGGACAACTGTTCAGAAATGGGAAAATGAAAAAAATGTATCTTAGCACCTATAGAATAGGGAGTGCTCATCTCCCATGTCTACATGTGGACAGATGGAGGTGGAAATGTTCACTTGCTTTCTGTCCCAACCCCCTCCCTCTGACCATACGCCATAGCATTCTCATTCTGGGTTACAGAAGAGCAACCCAAGTGTATTCAGACAGAACTTTCTCTGTACCTATGATCTCTATCAACTACTTTTGAAAGGGAAAACACGAAAGTCAGTTAATTTACATTTTAAACATTAACAATAAAAATGCAAATATGGTAACAAAATAACCTCACACGCTATGTAATTTTTTAGGGATTTATTTCAATAGAAATAGTTCAAAAAACTTCTTAAATTTTGTTATGCAAACACACTGAAGATCACACACTCACATTTGCATATTGAAACAAAAAGTGAGAGGAACCAAGCTGCACATCACTCATAAAGGTCATAGTGCAATTGAATGCTGTTATCAGAATACCTCAAATGGACTGTGGTAAAGAAAAATGGCTTGTGTTTTCCTTGCATTATCAAACATTGGGTACTCATCCCTACAGATTTCTGATTTCCTTTAGGCTACTGTGAACCAGATCGCCAGCCTCTTCACATTCATGTAATTCAGCAGGTTGTCAAACAATGGCATTTTGGTACAGAAACACTTGAGAGCCTGCTGTTTTATCAGCTACTTTAGTCACATGTAATAATTATTTGACTGTATTTGCAGTAGTTCTAATTGGTATTTTCAGGGAAAAGAATATCTTGTTACCTGGTTTCTAAAGCATAACTAGTATTTATAGTTTCATTAAGGAAAGAAGTTCTACCCTAAAACACACCTAATTACATAATTTTTTTAATTCCACCACTTCTTTGCACTCCAAGTGACTAGAATAAAATTTAAATTTTGCTAATAACCCTCAAGGACCAGGTAACCCTTTCATTTGGGTTTAAAGACTATATAGCTACTGGCCTACCCTGGAAATATACTAGCCCTTTAAAAAATGTGAAAACAGTTATCTTGACATAGCTAAACAACAGTAGTTCTAGGTCCTCCAAAATCTCAAGAGAAGCAAAATATTTCTAAGCTTTTCTTTCACTGACAAAGTGAGTCTGAACTCTTAGATTCTCTTTAATTTGTATACTGGAGTTGTTTACTTTCTTGCATAGTATTTTCAGGCAAATAGTAACTGGTAGGTTAAGTGCTCACTCATTCTGGATCTTCTTGAAGTACAAGAATGAACACATTACAACTCATTTCTGCCCAAAGGGACTGTCATTACAAGATTTCAATACTTTAATAAAACCCAAGTATCTTCTGGATGCATCTTAGTTTTTAGAGGCTGTCCCAAAAAAGCCTTATCATTAAATCTATGTTTACAACAACAAAATAAAACATGAACTAGCAGGATGGATGTTCTTCAAAGTTCTGCTTAAAGGTTTATTGAAAGCTTTGTTGGAGTGGGTTTCTTTTTAATCTCCTACCTAGAAAGGAGGAAAATAGGGACAGAACTTGTATAAAAAAGACTCAAAAACCAAGGATGACTTCAACAAGTACTTGGCAGTGTCTGTACAGACTTCCTTCATTTTGCGGTAAGATTAAGCTGGTGAAGAGACGGATAGCACACTCCTGAAGAGGGAAAATGATTCTCGTTATGCTCAATGCCCTAAAATTGGTCTTCATTGATAAGGCACTGACCAAACTTTCCTCACACTACAACCTGAGATACAGATGTAGTGAAATTGCTTTCAATACATTTAATAAAAGTTTGTATGCAGATCTCTTTCATTAGAATCCTTTAAATAGAAAAAAGTCATTTTAGACACAAGTCATTTTTAGGGAGCAAACTCAAAAGGTACTTTAAATCATTTTGAAAAGGTTCACATGAAAAATAACATTAATGCAATTTAATAGCAATTTTTATGTATTAAAGACTTAGAGAAAACAATACCACACTGGTTAGAAAATCATGAATTTACTAAGTTTTCAAGAATACAAAAGAGGGGGAGGGGAGCAAACCCTAAACTCTCACTAAAAGAAATCAGACAAAGCTCATCACTTACTTTGTAGGACTAATTCATTCAGCAGTAGCATCACTGTTCCACCACAACACCGCTGCATTTACCTCCAATTTAAAAAGGATCCAATTATGTCAACAGCCTTTGAGGGGGAGGATTTCTTTATCTTCTGTTCAGAAGCCCTTGTTTATGAAGAAAATATGGTGGCTCAAAAATTGCTTGTGAAGAAATGTCTCAAAACAAAAACGGTGAGTTGTTTTAAAAAGCCAATGGACTAAATCAGTACTGATTTCTAATTAATATGACACTATATAGTTTTGTTTTCAGTAATAAAATGTATAGACCTTACAGATTTAACCTTGGGGGGGGGGAACTACACAAAAGGCATCTGGCCAGGTAAATCCTAGTAATCCAGACAGGCTATGAGGGCCCTATTTCAATTAACAGATATTCAAGAGACTGTAAACATTTTTCTATTCTTTTTTCCTTCTGTAACAGTAACGCTTGCTGGGCTCCTGTCAGTCATCCACAAGAGGAAAAGAGCCACTAACAAAAGCTTTATGACAATAAATACCCTGACTCTTGACATACAGAAAGACCCAGCACCAAGGCAGCGCACACAGACAGCAGTGCAACAGTTGTATGGCGCTTTCCACACAGGAAAAATATTCATTATTGGCGCTCATGCCTGGGGACAAGAAAAGAAAAACACGAAAACAACACACTCCAACTCATTGTTTGAATCCCTTTTTGTAATGTTTATACAAATAATATTTACACAGGAAAACAGAAAAGGAAGGTGAGTTTGATCAATGCTCTTTCAATTTTTACAGTTTAAAGGTAAAAATAATACTCTGAAAAATGAGCAGAGCTTGAACACCGAAGGGACAGATACATAACCGAAACAGTGCTGAGGAAGGTCATTATGTAATTTTTATAGTTTTAAGTAAGTTGTTAAATAGGATTGCCTCAACCTGTATTCTGGTTAGTATTATATATCACTGTACCAGGACATCAACTATGCTAATTAATATGTCTGTAAACCAACCTAAATTTTAATTGAAATTCTAATGAGTTCTTGACTAGGATAGAAACAAATGAGCTTAATATTGATGGCAATGTTTAGCTTTTGAATCACCAATTTACAATTGCAACCAGTAAAAAGATTCATCTCACTAATAAACTAATACAGTTCGGTGACTGACTTGCTTGAATTATAATCATATTTTATGAATTTAGATCAAAACTCACCAGTACTTCAATTGTTTTAAAGTTTGATATGAGAAAATAACCTAAAAAGTGTCATTTTTTGAATGGAATAATGAAGATAGAAAAATAATGATTTTTTACTGCACTACTGGGTTGAGTTCAGTCAGCTGAAGGCCACAGTTCTATCTGAACTGTTAACCGAATTTGAACTCTATGCTTGTGCTACGTAACCAGCCACTGTGTAGAGCTGGAGACATCACACACACCATCTTAGCTCTCTCTTTGGCAACACTGTAACGTCAGTCTCAGACTTCCAGCTGCATATTTCCACAGATATGGTTAACCTAAACATGTCTACTTTAAGTTATTTGTAACAAACAAAATACCAAAATCCACAGGGTTCTTATTCACAATATTTTCCAGAAAAAAGCAATACACTTAGTTATTTCTAGAGAGAAATAAAGTAAGGAAATTTAAAAAAATGCAAAACAAAAGCTATGTAAGGTCTCTACATTAATACTGCTGGCTATGCAGATGATGTCTTTCTATGTACCCAACATGGGTTAACCTTAGAGCACTAACTGAAAAATCTTTCAGCACAGGCAACATTTTGTCCTCTTCGGCCTGTCACTAAAACCAGAAACAACATACTTCTATCATATGACAAATGAATTTGAACTCTTATCATCTTTCCAAACAGACAACTAAATTTATAAACGTTAACACTCAAGCTCTCACTTTCCTTTGGATAGATTTTTAGCTAATTATTAAACATGTATATTCTTTTAATGAACAAAATATAACAGAGTACAATTCTCTAGGGATTTATATGTGAGAAACTTTATGTGAGGCCTAAAGTAACAAAGTCTACAAGCAGGTATCAATCAAAAAGCACTTCCCTCCCTAAGTCACTGCTAAAATTTTTGATGCCTCGCAAGAATGTAATACTCAATGTGGAATCTCTATTCAAATGCTATTTTTTTGTTATAAAATTCTAAGGTATTTTACACTCTCATTTCAACTTTAAATTCAACATTCATTTTAGAAATTAAATGCACTATTGCATAGAAGAATTCTGTCAAAATGGCTTAGTCAACTAATGCTAAAATAAGGTTTCATGTAAGGGAATTATCAGTAAGTTTTCTGAAAAAATGTTTTGGTATGCTTGCGATGAGTCATGTAAGAATGAATGTTTTTTGTCTCTGGGATCAAACTTATGACCTCACGCTTGCCAGGCAGGCGCTTGTGCCATTAAGCTAAATCCCCAGTCCCAAGAAGGAAAGATTTGATACTTAAAATTCCTAGAACATCCAACTTTTTTTTAATCTCTCTTAAAACATAAATAAGCAATCTTTTAAACAAATACAATCTTGAATCTCATACTGAACAAAAACAAGTGAATACTCACAATGACAACAAAAAACTGGCATTATGCACATTAAACACTGTAAAAGAAAATATCCTGGAAAAATACCAATATTAATACACCTTCACTGATAAAAACCACCTGTGACTGGGAGAAGGGATAATCCAATCAACTCAAGGAAAAGGCTAGTTACTATAAAATCTTCTCAGGAAAGTTTAGCTTAGGATTGTGGTTCTCTATTAGGCAGATCTGTGGTCCAACGATGAATTCATGTAAAGCTAAGTTTTAACTCCAGTTAGAAACAACCATGTTTTCTGGAGTTTACTTTAAGAAACGGCCTGGCAAATGAACACTTGGCCTTTGTGCCTCCTGCAGGAAATAATGTTGCCCACACAGTACTAAATTCAGAAGTTTAGTGTTTAAAAGATGTCCCTTTTACCTAAACCAAAATAAACACCTCCCATCTCAAATAAACCTCGACAACTGACATAGTTAACATTTCCAAAGCCTGCACTCTCCATGTGAGAGAACGATGGGGACACACGAGCAGAGGCAGAACCAGCCTTGCGGGTGGGCTGCTGCTATAACCCCTAAGTTAAAGTACCCGTTCACTGCAGCTCAAAGCCAGCTCCTGATGTAATCAATAAGAATTTTTAAATTGTATCTAAAAAAGATGATTCCCCCCTCTGAAATTAGTACAAAGGTAAAAGAAACGCAAATTAGCTACGATCTATTTCAAGCACAGCACCGCCAGAAGATTCACACACACTATTTGGTGTTTCAGTTGGTTTTCCTTTCATTCTTTAAGGCAGTGGTTTCCACAGGTCAGTTTAGAGATAAGAACCATATAGTTCATGGCAGTTTATTTTGTAACTCCAATTTGTTCTCTGGGAAGATCTCATTTCATTCCCTGAAATGAGTGCTTTTTGGTTCAAAACTCCAAAGGCTGAGGTGGCGCCTCAGGCTCTCCCTGGCATGGATGGTCTGCAGCTGGCGCGCTCATCAGGTCCCGCGCTCGCCTGGGAACAGGGATTCGCCTCACATTTCCCAGGCTTCTACTCAAAGGTCATCAAGTTGGTAGGAACCTAAAAATTACAAGCATTACAAAGTGTTTACCAGTTGTTTTTCAAACCAGTATTTCGTTCTTTGTCATTTGGGTAAGTCCAAATGTTTCTTATTCAAGTATATGTTAAAAGAAATGGATGGATACTTTAATAATTATGAATAATGAATATTACATTTAAGAACATTTTAGAGAGAAAAATCACTGAGAGGAATAATAAGCTCTTTCAAGTAAACCGCTGTCTGGTGGGGAAAGGGTGTGGATCTGCTCCTCTCCTAACACGCGGCTCTCCCTGACCGTCGCGCTGCCTGCTCCTTCTTGTCACTTGGGTCATCACCTTAGAGAGATCTCTGTGCTTCCTTTACATTTTTTTCATCTATTTGGCTCTACTCGTACCAGTTTAGATACAGAAAATCTAGAAAAGAAACAGTCTATTGTTTTCTTTATACAGCTCTTACAATTTGAAATTTTGTGTTTACTGTCTAGCTCCCTCGCTAAAATGTGGACTTCATGTCTTACTGACTGCTATGCTACACATGATAAAAAGAATAAAAAAACTCCGTTTTTCCAGGTCATGAAGAAAACTACCTGCGCCTCTTTGGAACTCCTCAGCAGTTTCCTAAGTTATGGACTAAGAATTAAAGAGAACTCTCACCTGTTGTTTGTTGCTCTGGCAGGCCACGCTCAAATGCTTAAACCACAGCATTGCATTCATCCTACTGCCAGCTTGAAATTTGTATGAATTTCCTAAAATTACCAAAACCAAGTAAAAAATAATAAAAAATTTAAGTAGGATGCCACATAATTTTGTCACATATCTGACTAAACTAGACATGAGTACAGTTCTGTTTCAGAATTAACACCTGATTTCCCAGAAAAAGTACGCTGTGAAATGGAATTTTAATTCTTTTGTACAGTGTCAATTTTGTTTTGCTTCATATCTGCAAAAATGAAATTCCTTGCAAAGAATAATATCAAATAGAATAACTGGCTTCTTTAGATTTATCTTTGTGGATAAGACTGGAGAATAATCATTTTTAATACCACTTGGATGATCTAAATAATTAGATACTGATATTGAATTTTTACATGCCCAAATGCTTCAACAAATGTAAAACTTAACATTATCTTTTAATTTAAAGAGCAATCACTTAATATCAATACTGGTCACAGTTTTAGTTACAAGAAGACGTTTGTCAAAATGACTGCAGATTTTCAGTTTTGCTGAGAGCTCTCTAGGAAAATGATAGACCCACAGGGATCTTTTTGGATGGACCCTGTAGCATGCAGTGTAAGGGCCGGCAGGATGTGATTTTTACCTTTAGGAAATTAGAAATAATCTGTGTTCTATATATTCAGTAGTTACAAACTGACTTCATTTTATAGCCATATAAGATACCCTTATTATGTGAAAAGTCTTAGTAGAGCATAAACAGATAATTCAACTACTCTAAATTGAACTTACTTTTTTCATTAACTCAAGTTTTATCTCAATTCAGACAAGATTCTATTTTTCTTTCTGTGTTCAGCAACCCACAAGCCTGACTATATTTAAGCATAATACATATGTTTTTGAGATTCTAATAAAGAATGTTACCACTTTCAGAGCAATTATTTTTCTTCACCCAATGCTTAATAAAGTCAGGTAATACTATTTTGCTTGCTGAACTCACATACAGACACTAGATCAATCTGAATAAAAGTATATCTACAACTAAGCTGATTATAGCTATAATTTACTTCCTCTTTCTCCTAAAAAGACCACTAGTACAGACTTCGTAAAAATCCTGACTATTCTACATGCTATGAAAAAACAAAATTTATTAGCAAAACCTTAAGAATACAATTTTATGAATAATGCCTATGGCATTCTGAGAGTGGAGGTTTGAATTCAGAAGCTGTATAGGAAGTCTTCATTGAATAAATCAATCTACTTCAAAACAAGGTATTTTGTTGATTATTTTTTCCTACATCCATTACATATTTTTTCTTGAAACTTAAAACAGTAATACCTGAAAAATAAAATATCTGTTGGTACAAACTAGCATCTACTTGCAATAAAGCAACTCACCAGAGGAATTTACAAGAATCAACTCAGGAATTAAACTAAAAAGAAAATCAAGAAAAGAAAAGAAGAGCCTTAAACGAGATGTAATCCCAGACATCCAGATCACCAAAAGCAAACCCAGGGAGGGGGCAATGCAGTGGGACAAACAGAAACTCCCCCCTGTCCTCTCTAAAGTGGTAACAACAAAGCAACTGCATGATGCCCAAGAAAAAAAATCAGAAATAACTTCAGATAAATGCAGAGATGGTGTCCACAATGAAAACCATGCTTATGACTCCAGAGAAGATATATATTTAAAAAAAAAAGAGGAGCTTAAGAAAATGATGGAAGCCATGAAGCCACGAATGCTCAACATAGCAAAGAAATGGAATACACAAGACAGATTCAATCAGATAACCAGGAGAATAAAAATTCCACTGAAAGTATCCACAGCAGATTGAGCCAATGTGAGGACAGAAACTCAGATTTAGAAGACAGGCTTGCAGTTAGCAATCATGAAAACAAAGATTTCTTAAAAATAAGAAGGAACCATGAGAAATCAATACAGTAGCTGTTAGATGAGGCAAAGAATAGCTTAAGATTGATTGGAATCAATGAAAAAAAGCAGAAGATAGCACAAATCTTATACATACTAAAAACAACACAACACCAAAAACTGTTCACAGATGTCATGACAGAAAACTCTCCTGAGTAGGGAAAAAGATTCTGACATACAAGTAAGTGAGACATACAGAACTTCAATCAGCCACAATTTAAAAAACAAAACAAAACAAAAAAACCTACAGCCAGGTATATCATAGTAAAGACTCCAAATATTCAACACAAGATTAGAATATTAAATGCTGCTAGGGAAAAGAAACAAATCACCTTTATCAGAATCACAGCTGCATGTTCTCTGCACAGGTGAATGTTCCCTCAAATCAAGAGCTTGGAAGTATTTCAAACTCTAAAGGAAAACCACCTCTAACGAGGATTGATGTATCCCACAAAACTACCTTTCAAAACTGGTGGAAAAATAAGATAGTTTAAGACAAAGAACACCTGAGGAAATTTCTGACTACCAAACCAGAACTCCAAATTGTTTCTGAAGGGCATTCTAGAAATAAAAGGACCACAACTTCATGAACCCCACCAGGCAAGCAAATAATTAAATAGGGGCTGGCAGGGTTGGTGATGAGGAGGGCAGCTGACAACAGGAAAATAATATGACAAGGACAAGTTAACACATATCAGTTATAACCATCACTGGTCTCAATTCAGCGATCAAAAGACAGACTGACAGAATGCATCAAGAAGCAAGATGCAACAGTATTTTGCTTACAAGAAACACATTTAATTCAAAAAAATTCAGACTGAAAGTCAAAGGATGGAAAGCAATACTCCACGTAATAGGAACCCAGAAAAAAGCAGGCGTACCTATTCTATTTGCAGACAAAGTGAACTTCAAACCAAGACTGATTAAGGGAGACAAGGGTCATTACATCCTTATAAAGGGAAGAATCCAAGAGGAAGAGATAAAAATCATAAATATATATGCAACAAATACCAGTACACCTAACTATAGAAAACAAATATTAACAGACATGAAAAATCAGATAAGCATTAATACAACTGTATTGGGGGATCTCAAAACCCCATGTCACAAAAAGACAGTTCAACTAGATAAACCAACCATCAAATACTAGAAGTGAACTAAACTTTTGAACAGATGGGCTTAGTACATGTCTACAGAGGGTTCCACCCCAGATCAGAATACACGTTTTTCTCAGCTGCATATGGACGTTCTCCAAAATATAACATATACTAGCTCAAAGGACATGCTTAAGTAAGTGCAGAGGAACTGAAATTATCCCATGCATATAGTCAGGCCATCCATAGTGCAAAGAAATTGGAAATCAATGGCAAAAAAAACCACAAGTACTTCTTAAATACATGGAAATTAAATAACACTCTCCTGAACAACCAATGGGTCACAGATGAAATTAAGTAAGAAATTAGACAGTTTCTATGATTGAATGATGACAATACAACATACTGGAAGTTATGGGACACAATGAAAGCAGCCTAGAGGGAAATTTATAGCAGTAAATGCCCATATCAAGAAAATGGAACAAGTGCAAATAAACAACTTAATGTCAAACTTCAAACTCCTATAAAAAGAAAAACAAGCCAAGCCCAAAGCTCATTGAGGGAGGAAATTAGAGAAAGATCAGAGCAGAAATTAATGCACTGGAGACTAAGAAAATAATACAAAGAATCAATGAGTCCAAGAGTTGGTTCTTTGAAAGATTAAATAAATTGACAAATCCTTAGCCAACCTTATCAAAAAAGTAACGACTCAAATCCATACAACGAGGAATGAAAGGGATGAAATCACAACAGATCCTACAAAAATCCAGATCATCTACACCTACACTTCGACAACTAGTATTTTAATAAGATGGAAGATGCAGAAGAAATGGACAGATTTCTAGACACATATGAATTACCAAAAGTGAATCAGGAAGATATAAATATATGAAATAAACCAATATCAATGAAATCAAAGATGTTATTAAAAATGTATTAATAAAGAAAAGCTCAGGCCTAACAAATTCAATGCTGAATTCTACAAGAAATTTAGAGAAGACCTAACACCACTATTTTTTTTTTTTTTTTTTTTTTGTCTTTTTCGTTTTTATCAGTACTGGGGATTGAACTCACGACTGCCTGCTTGCAAGGCAGGCGCTTATGCTGCTGAGCTAAATCCCCAGCCCCCTCTAACACCACTATTTCTCAAACTCTTTATTTAATGAAACTGAAAGGGAAGCAATATTCCCAAATTCATTCCTGGGAGCAAGTAGTACCCCGATACCAAAACTGAAGAAAGACCCAACTAAGAAAGAGAACTACAGACCAATCTCCCTAATGAACACAGATGCAAAAATACTCAATAAGATACTGGCAAACAGAATGCAACAAATCATCAAGAAGATTATACACCATGACCAAGTGGGTTTCATCCCAGGGATGCAGGGATGGTTCAACATACGTACCTCAATAAATGTAATACAGCAGAACCAAGCACAAAAACCATATGATCATCTCAATAGATGCAGAAAAAGCTCTTGACAAAGTCTAGCACCCATTCATGATAAAAACTACAGAGAATTGCAATAGATGGTCTTTATCTTAATCTGATAAAAGACATCTATGATAAACCAACAACCAACATCATACTAAATGGACAAAAACTGAAAGCTTTCACTCTAAAATCAGGAACAAGACAAGAATGTCCACTGTCTCTACTTATTCAACATAGTCCTGGAAACTGTAGCCAGAGCAATTCGACAAGAGAAAGAAAAGGAATAAAAATGGGAATGGAAGAAGTTAAAACTATTGTTATTTGCAGATGACATGATACTCTACATAGAAGACGGCAGAAACTCCACCAAAAGACTACCAGATTTAATAAGCAAATTCAGTAATGTAGCCGGACATAAAATCAAGACTCAAAATCAATAGCCTCCTTGCACATGAATAATAAAGTCACTGAGAAATTATGAAAACACCTTCCACAATAGCATCCAAAAACATGAAATATGTAGGAATCAATCTAATGAATGATGTAAAAGACCTCTACATTGAAAACTACAGTACTCTGAAAAAAGGAGACTGAAGAGGATATCAGAAAATAGATCTCTCTTGCTCTTGGGTAGGAAAAACCAATATAGTGAAAATGGCCATACTTCCAAAACTGTTACACAGATTTAATGCAATTCTGATCAAATTTCCAACAGTGTACCTCACAGAATTAGAAAAAACAATCCTAAAATTCATTTGGAACCAGAAGAGATCTGTAACAGCACAGGCAATCCTGAGTAACAAAGGCAAGAAAGAGAGCATCACAATCCTTGACTTAAAATTATATTATAAAGCTACTATGATAAAAACAGCATGGAACTGGCAAAAAAAAAAAAAAAACACCCCAAAACAAACAAAAAACATCCAAAGATCAATGGAACAGATTACAAGATGCAGAAAGAACTCCAGACATACTAAGCCACCTTAGTTTTGACAAAGGTTCCAAACACATTCACTGGAAGAAAGATATAATGAATAAATGGTGCTGGAAAAACTGGCTCTACATATGCCAGAGATTAAAATTAGACCCATATCTTTCATCATGCACTAAATTTGAAATGGATCAAAGATCTAAATATTAAAACAGAAATATTAAATCTGTTGGAAGATAGAATAAGTGAAACTCTTGAAGACGTTAGTATAGGCAAAGACTTTATGAAAACAGGATCTAGATTAACAGAGGTCAAAATATACTATGAAGTCAATGAAATGTAACAAATATAACACTTTAGTTTTAAGTTACTGTAGCAGAAAATTCTGTGTGGATGTGAAAGAATTTTCTTTTTGGCATCCTTTCTGTCACTAGCTAGTAGTTACTACCAAGGAAAAGTAGATCCACAGGGATCTTTTCTGATGGACCCTGCTGCATGCAGTGACAGAGGAAGGATGTAATTTTTAATAGCTTACCACTCAGTTTTCATTGAGTTTACAAGCTTTGGAGTCTGACCACTGGGTCAACAGCCAGTTTATCTATTCACCAATGTATCTAAATACCGTATGTAAAGTATTTTAATGTAGACAGTGGTGTGGATTACAGAACTGATGAAAGAGCAGTCTCTTGAGATTTTAAAGCAACAATGGGCTGTTATTGTCAAATTCTCGCCTTCCCTGTTTATCCTTTATAGTTTAGTTGACCTTTTAATCTTTAAGCTTATGCTTATTTTTTTAAAAGGCTCTATAAATACTAGCTTATTAAAACACGTGACAAAAATAGTTCATGATAAAACAAAACCAACCCTTCCTCTGTTGAGTATTCTAGTTACATTAGGATTAGGCTCATCAGGAATCATGTATACACACTACCTGAAGTCCTAAGGAGCCTAACAACTTACCCTTTTCAGAATCAGTCAGCAGGAAGAGGTCTGGATGCTCTGGGTCATCAGCCATCATCACCATCCATCCTACTACTGACACATTCTTATTTGATGTCGATTTGAACTGAGTGAAATAATGAAAACAATGATAATTAGTGAAAAATAAATATTCTGAGCACGGGTAAGAGTGTATTTTCAGTTTCGCCTAATGAGAGAGAAGATGTGGACTTCTGGCTTGTTTTGGTAAACAGGAGACATTTTATTATTAAATGCATCTAAATGTAACTTTTTCAGGGAGTGTGCTACTTTCCAGGCCTTTTCCAGCTTCAATTCTTCATCAAACCCTGACTTGTCCAGTTCTTCATTCCCCAAAAGCATTATGTTAGTGAGCCTAACTTTCTTCTTTGCTACTTTTTCCTAATTATTGTGCTACTGCTTATATGAAACAACTGCATTTGTTTTTCTTAATCTGATTTAATAAACTATCAAAGCTATCAGATAAGTATTAGTGATAACATTCTTACTTGTATTTCTCAAAAAAAAAGATATGTTTACATGCATGTTAGCTTTTATGACAAATTATTCTTTTATTTTTTTTACTTTAGATATAATTTTTTGTAACTTTGAGAAAGGGATGCTATAAAAAACCAGAAAACTAGGTTAACCTCATTTATAAACATGAAAAAAATTCTACAAAATGCTGGCAAACAATACAGTAGTGTGTCAAAAAGAGGCTATGGATACCACAAAGGGAGTAAAAATGTAAATCAAACAAACTGGATAAAAGAATTCTCAATATACCATTGCTAACAGATCTGCATCTGAGATATATACAAACTTTTTATTACAATTATGAGTAAAAATAAACATTAAGGCATTTCACAGAAACACTATCACCAAAAAACACAGAAAAAGGTCAAACTCGATACACCAACTAAAATAATAAGGTAACATTTTATATATACTACATTAGCTGAGATGAAAATGCTTGATAATAAAAGTATGGGTAGGCTATAGAATCTTACTGCACTACTAGTGACTGTGCAACTTAATGTAGCATTTTCTTGTAAAGCTAAGCATTTGTATTCCTTAGGTATACAACCTAGATAAAGACCCTGTGCACAAAAATATTCACAGTGGCACTGTTAGCAAAGAAATGGGAAAAAAACCCATTAAATATTCACCAACAGTAGACTGTACTGAGTAGAAATGGAACACTATTCAGTTGTGAAAAGTAACAGCTATGTGCATAAAAACAATGAATCTCAACCATGTAACCAAAAAAGTATACATTTAAGAACATATATGTGCTCCATTTAGGTACATCCTAAAATAAAACTATTGTATAAGGAAGCATATATGGTAAAACTCTACAAATTCAAGACAGTGACGGTCTGTCGATCACGAAGAAAGGGGCTGTCATTTGGGATAGCTCTGACAGTTCTGTTTCTTAGGTGAGGTGGAGGAATGTTTATGTACTGTGTCTTAAAATGTACTCACTTAACTGCTTTGTATGTTTCACAATGAAAAGAAATTGGAAAATGAATAAAGTACATTTGTAACGACTACAAAATGAAAGCTAAAAATCTAGCTATTTTTAATACTAGGAAGAATGAAATTGGCAGTACTACAAAACACCTGACTTGACAAGCCTTCCACGGCATGATTTTCTTTTTTCCTCAAAACATTTACTTCTTGGGGAAAAAGAAAAGAAAAGAAAAGAAAAAAGTTAACACAAGCCCCGTAATACTGAGTGATGAAAACAGATATACACTATAATGTCCCTTGACCCTCAGCTGAATCCCACTGTACTCCTGGGATTAATCATCATTGGGAGCAACACTCCGCAGGCCTTTTTGCTATGCACTTTAATGGGGGGAGGTGTATTATTTCTTAAAATGAATGTGCTTCCATTAAAAACATTTTTTTAGTGAGTATGCTTTTAACTTTAAACATTCAAAAACAGACAATAAAATAGCCTCTCTTCTCTTCTAGTCACTCTTCCAAATACACTCTGCTCTCTACAGCTCAAAGTAAAAACCCTACCATAAGTATATTTTAGTTGTCAGGTACCTTTTAATACATAATAGTCTCTCTATAACTTTTCTGGCTGCCAAATTTTAGTCTTTTTAAGAATTCAGGTTGTCCTACACTGTGTTTTCCAATAGAATTTCATGTTTTCTCATAAGAGGTTAAATATTGTGGTAAGAACATTAAAGATGTGGCACTGTGTCTACTAGTGATATTAATCCTTTATCTGTTATTTATGGGAGATGTTTTCTTCCAACTTGCTTGTATTTGAACTTTGTTTTGCTTTTTCAGGTGACACTTACTAGCTACGGTCTTTGGAGACTATTAAAAGCCTCACGTGAACAAAGCAAAAAACAGACGCCCAGTACTTGAGGTGGGATCCTGGGGGAAGTAACTGGCCAAGTGGGAGGTCAGTGATGGATGAAAGATCACCGAGGAGGTTATATTTAATAAACACAGTAATTTGGGGGGGGGGTACTGGGGATCAAACTCATGACCTTGCACTTGCCAACCTGGCGCTTACACCACTAAGCTAAATCCCCAGCCTGAGGGTTACATATAAATGGCTTCATCCTACTTGAACCACTGAAAAGCTGCAGACACATCTTCTCCTGGGGAAATTCCCTCAGTCCCTCCACACTGTTGTCATGGCTCTTATCTCCAGGTATTTGTCCAGGAGCACACATAGCCGCTGCAGCTGGTTGGTCAAGAGCTCATGACTGGGCCAAGGGCCACAGAGCTCCTTGAAGCATACACTGACCTCACTCTCCATGGCCCGAATGTTGTCATCATTGCTCTTGGCTTTCTCTCCTTTCCTGTTCAGACAGAGGTGGAAAGTGGGTGGGATGGAGGAATAGCCAGGGTTCAACACTACGGCAGCCTGAAATTTGGCTGTGCCCCTCTCAATGAGTGCCATGTAGTAGAGACTGGTGTCCCTGGCTTCCACAATGTCCTTGGTGTAATGCAATTCCATATCATCTTCAGAGATAACTGTCACCCACTTCACCAGCCAATAGACGACCCTGGCAGGGAAGAGGTATTGCTGATCACTGGTAACTGGTACAATGCCGTGTTCTAGGGACGCAAACTGTGGAGAGCCAGCCAGGACTGCACCCTAGTCTTCAGCAGCTTCGTGGCTGTTTCCATGTAGCTGGCGCTCAGCAAGTTATCAGGCACCACTGTGTGCTAGGGTTGCTCTTTGGGAACATGGAGGCCTCCCAGCTTCTGTACCCACAAATAGGGGTGACGTAGGTCAAGTACATAGCCTCTAAAAGTTAAAATGCCAACTTTCTCGAACTGGTATTGATTGGCTGGATTTGGAGTTTTCTTTCCGTGGTCACCAGGATACACACAGCTCAGTGCTGAGTCAGGAGACAGCAAGTCCCCTGCACTCATGGGGGTGGCTCACCTCTGTGGCAACTGTCACTTTGGCTTTCACAGTCAGGATGCTGAGGTTCAGGAGGTAGTAGAAAGTCAGGTGAAGCACGCTATCATCTTTGCATTTCAGGTCGACCACGAGGGACAGAGTGTGTCTCTTCAGCGTCTCCTTGTGCTTGTCGTCCACTGACCTCACCCCATGGTCCACTCTTCCTCAGCATCTGATCACTCTTGTGATCTTGGGAGTCATCAGGAAGTTTGGCTTCATCCACACTGCGTTTGATGTCCACAGACAAGGTCTTGTCACAGGCCTGCCCACAGGCAGTGGCCTGCACAAAGAGCTCATACAGGAAGGTGGCAGATGTCTGGTTGTCTCGTATTGCTTGTGAGCTTGGTCAAATGACACGAACAGGTACCCCTGGGAGGAAAGCCTGCATGATGCTACTGAGTCAAGGCTGAAGCCTGCTCAAGTACACTTTCATAACCTCAATCTTTGAGGATTTTCTCCTTGCTGGACAGACACTCTTGATACTACTCTGTAGTCGTCTTCTCTGCTCCAGCGCCAGCTCCCAGGCTAGATGTGCCAGCGTCTATTGGTGAAGGTCTTAAATGGTGACTTCTGCCCTTGCTGTTTGGTGAAGCCTCCTTGTAAAACTCCTCTAAACTGACCACATCAATTTCTTCATGCTTTGACTTGAACTCCAGACATTTGGTGATCTCTTTCTACAGGTACATCACCTCATAAAGCAAGTTCTGTAGCTGTAGATGACAGGCATCTACTTTTTGCTTGATCTCTTCATTTCTTCAACCTGATGTGAGCTAATCAGTTAATTTCTTTATTCTTTAGAGTTATGAAATGCACACAGCTCTAGATCCTCCATTCTTCAATTTCAATTGCCACATCCTTGCCATCTCTGCTCTTCAGGCCTTCGATCTTGGCCATTAGCCTCTGTAGCTCCTGGCATGCATACTTGCACAGCTCATGGTCTCTGACAGGGTCCCACATATCCACCTGGGCCCCTTCTCTGTAGTATTTACCTTTCTGCTCAGTGTCTGAGCGATTTTGCTTTCCGTCAGCTGGGGTTCCATCACAGATCACTTTGGATTTCCATTTTTTGCTTGATTCTAGTGAGGTGATGCTTCCTTAACCTCACAGCTCTGCTGTATTTGAACTATGAACAAAATTTTAAAAATGTTTTGCTTCACTATTTTCAATTCTGTATCATATTGTTTTGAATCTCCAAATTAACACTCAATATATGCAGAGGCCTGTCTGTATGATTTCTATCCTGTTTTGAACAGTTTCAATTAGAAAAGATAAGGAATACAGTCCATTTCCTTGGTAGTCAAATTTATTTTCTCAAAATGTATTATAATTTCTAAATTATTTCATATACATATTTACCAGAAACCTCATAAAATTAACTGCCAACTAAAGTAATAGTATACATTAGTATATGTAAGTAAGTAATGCCAAACAGAAAATAATATTAACATATGCATTACATGACAAATTCAATATACCTCTAATTTGGCTTCCAATTAAAGCTAAGAAAAATCCAAGTACTTTAGTAAAGTAAGTGAAGTCTACTCAATGAGTTTCTCAAAGTGGCTATATAAAAAATTATTATATTTAATTGTATCATCCCCTATTCCCTATCCCCTGGAAGTACAGCAGTAGAGTGTTTTGTAGCATTTTACTCTGTAAAATGTTCTAGTAAAACTAATCAGGATAGCCTTCTAGGGTATGTGGGCATTGTTTTTTATGATGAAAATGGTTTCACTATATTTGACTATGCAAATGAGACAAGATACCAAAATATTCACAGATAAAATGATCACTCAAGTCTTTTACCTCAGTGCAAGGAGCTAGCTAAATCATTACCATAATATGCAAAAAAAGTCACTGATAAGAGTATGATTCCATCAGTGATTCAGAATGCTATACTGTCTTTTCTTTACGGAAGAACTGAGATCACTCCTGCTGTGGCCCCTTCTTCCCTTGTGCTGCTTGTGTTTGTGTGGCTCCCCAAGCCCCACGAACACAAACACATTGGTTGAGGTGGACACACTGTAAATCCCTGAGTAACTGTCACGTCATTATCAAGTCAGACTTTAGGTTTTTCTGTAAAAAATAAAAAATAAATGTTTTTATTAACAAAAATAAAAAATGATTCCAGGAGCTTGGGGTCTGAACTCAGTGGCAGAGCCAGGGGCTTAGCATGCCCAAGGTCCTAGATTCAATCGCCAGCTCTAAAAGAACCCAAAACTACAATACACATGAAACTTAGGCAAGTGATGAGAAGCTATAGTGAGCAACATTTGGCATTTCCTGCATTCATTTAAGCCAAAAATGTTCTCTTCTACACCTTTTGATTGATTAAAGAGCTAACATCGTGAGAATAAAATATAGCTTCTCTGACATATGCAGTAGATCTATGAAATTTTTAAGAAGGAAAAAGGAAATAAACTTTTCTTTAGTTGATCTACTTTGTCTCAGCAGGGTAAATCATTTAATTTTTCATCCCTCCAGCATATGACTTAGAAATAAAATTCTTCTTAAAGGGTTTTACTAATACAACATGGGAAACTGTTCCTTCTTTTTAAACATTTTATTAGCAGCAGAGAAAAACAACAAAATAACATGCAAAAGGGATTTATAGTAAAATTCTACTCTGAGAAGATTTATCAAGAAGTTGTAATAATCACCCATTGCTCTTCATTGTTGAGAAGGCTACTACCACATTAGAGAAACAACTTTAGATGTCGGTCTCAAATTTTCACATTTTACATATTCAAAACCAAGACTACAAAATTTTGAACCAGAAACTCAGAGAACATGAAGAAACTTTGATGCTAAGATTGATATTTGTAATAAGCAGTTTTGACATTTGCAATGGAAAAATCATATTCAAAAGAGAACCTCAAAATGCAAATGTTACTCCAAGATCTTCTTTGGAATAGTTCTACTAAATACAACTAATTTCATTATTGCATTCACACCAGGAGCCAAAAATCTTATTAGTACTATTTTCTTTAAAACCACGAAGAGGCTGTGAAACAATGCTAAGAATTGGGAGGACAAATTCTTACATGTTTGCGTTCTGTAGCCTTCAGAGACTTGGCAGCATAATAAAAAAGTTGTGTTCCACACAAGGCTGCCCAATATTTTGTCCAAGATGCTACCTGGAAAGCATAAATGGAATATACTATTAAAATGTTACTCGCTTCTCAGTTTCTTTACCTTTTTAATGTCACTCTTCAGTCATCAATGTCTTAATTTCAGAGTCAAGCTGTAGCACTTCTGAAATCTTTAACTCAAGTGTGTCTATCACTTCCAGCTAATAATATACACAATTACTCTTGTTTAGGCAATTCTTGAATTTATTAAGAATGCATCACTTTTTAATACTATCTAGTACTGTGATCACCTCCTTTGTCCTTCCCTTTCCCTCAGATCTGGCAGTGATCTAGCACTGCACCCTTTCTTTCCAAATATGTTAATACCAAGGCCTTTCTTTTTGATAAAACTCTAACCCCCAGTCAAATCTAACTCTGACAACCTCATACCATATCATAGCAGTTGACTATTACTGCAGAAAGCATAGAATTATTCTTACTGATAAAAACGTGATCACCAATCTCAAATTGATGTATTTTCCTTTCATATTATATTTCCTGGAGAAAGATGAATGCTGGTGAGGATAATCTCATTTTCCCAGCACTGATTCCAGCTAACTACCTGTTTGTGGATACACATGCCTTTCTTTTTCCTACCACAAACTAGTTAAATCCTGATTCTATACAGATTCCCTTTTACTTTCTTAATTTGATTTTGTTATAAACTCTTCTCGCTACTACTTCTCAATTTCTTTTCCTCTACCATCATTATAGAAATGAGCCTTGGTAATGCTCCCATCTTTAAAATATTCCCACCCCCCAATCTAATCTTTCTGTTTCCCTTATAGCACAACTTCTTGCAAGTTGCAAGTTTGTCTCTAATTCCTGCCTCTACTTTTATTTTGCCATTTTCTTAGACGTTCAGGCTGAAACAGCCAGGGTCTCGCTCTCTGACCACTGACATTTTACCAGAGTATAAATCCTGTCACAGTCAAACTTTTATCTGACACAGCTGAACACTTTTTCCTAAGTGAAGTACTTTAACTGCTAAGCTTCTAGGATGTTACCTGATTTTCCTTTATACTCCTCTTATAGCAGACTTCTGATGCTACAGAGTTCTTTTTCCAGCCACACCTTCTTTGTAATTTTTCACATTCAGTTTGTATTTCACTCTTTGTATGCAAATGATGCCCAAATCACTACCTGTGGCCCCACCTCTCTACTGAACTAAGAAACTGCTTTTTCAAGAGCCAAACTGACAGCTCCACTCAAATGTTAAGTATGCCAAACTGAAGTTAGCCAGAACTTACCTGTCTGCCCATTTCAAAAAATGTCACCAACGATCACCTAGCTCAGTCCCCAATTTCACAAGTTAATTTCACTTTCACTGTTTCTCTTATATATCACAAGTAATACACCATCAGCACTACACTCTGACTTTATCGGCACTTTCAATGCTTCGACGACACAAGATTCCTGTCTCTTCAAAAGGCTAAGTCCCTTTTCTTACAGACCTTGCTGTCACACATCATTCTGCATCCCATGACCCTGTTATAAGGGTTTCCTCTGTATCTTTCTTCACTGGAAAGGAATCTTCACGAGGCAGACACTTAGTTTTGTCTTAGTCACTGCTCTATGTTTGGCATCACCCACACAACACGAAGAGTAACACGACAGACACAGTAGCCAGTCTGAGTTCACTGGGTGGCCCAGTGTGGCTTCCTGATTGTATGGGCCTTGGGCTTCTTGTAAGAGTACTTACATGAAAACCATCTTTGTATTTTAAAAAGCCCTCATATTTTCAAAAGCTTTAAGTGTGGCTATACATCAAAGTTTTTGTATTTTTCTACTCTACTACACCTCTTCCCCAACAAAAGAGTTGTTGTTTGGAGAACATTTAATACTGGGGTTTTTTTTTTTTTTTTTTTGTCTTTTTCGTTTTTATCGGTACCAGGGATCCAACTCACGACTGCCTGCTTGCAAGGCAGGCGCTTATGCCGCTGAGCTAAATCCCCAGCCCCCTGGGTTCTTTTTTTTAAACAGGAAAAACAAAACTATCACAGAAATTTAACTAAACAAATTTGGTTAAATTCCAGTTTTTAGGTTGTTGCTTTGTTTTTCCTAAACATAATACTATAATATTTAGCCATATACTTTCCGCAAAAAATAATTTTGTGTAAGAATTGTATTAGAGGATAAAGAGACGGATAGTACAGGAGTATCTTGATTTAACCAATCTTAACATATGACTCAGCAGACATCTATATAGCAGATATAAAACTTTAAGAAAGATGTAGAGGAAAATGGGTATTTAAAATTCCTTTAAGTGCCTTATATATCTGATTCTTTTCAATTGTTCAGTACATTTTAGGATCTTATATATTTTTTGAAGTGTTTATAAATAATGAAATCTTACTGTTGGCTTTTTGCCTTCTTTTAACAAAGTTTTCCTCCTAAGAACACCTTGAATAGTAACAGCTCCTGGATATAAATGTACTGCCAAATCTTCTGACTCCGCAGAACTGTAATAGGGGAATGAAGAAAAAGATAAGAGCTTTTGTCTACTGTAATGATTCAATAGGAACTTAAATAAAATGTAATTACTATTAATTTAAAAAACTTTGCTACTTTATTCACAGCCAAGAAGACACTGATAATTTTAAAGATTTACTGACTTGAAATTTATAAGCTGTCACAAAAGTTAATTAGGAAGTTATTAAAATCAGCAGATGGTTAAAACACACACTGTTCCATATTTGAACAAGTAAATTTAGAAAGAATGCAGGAATTCACAAAATAAAGATTAACATAAATATTTAAGAGTTTTTCCTTCTCCTTCACATGCCGTGCTGTGTCACTGCTGTAACTTTATTTTCCCCACTAGAAACTTTAAGTCCTGGTAGGAGAGATGAGGATTCTATTTATTAAAAGTATTTAAGTCTATAAAACTGAAAATGAAAATAACAGAAGCTCACAAAGGCAAAGAGCGAAAACTCATGCTTAACTTAATTCTAAAATAAGTGAAAAAGTAAATGCAATAACATATTTTTAAAAACTGGCTTTCTGCAGTAAATTTTAATGACTTTCAAGTGCAGCCATGACATAAGTGTTTGATTATGGCCTAAGAGCTCTCCAAGAAAGGAATAACCTCCAAACTCAAGACTTCCTTTTTACTGTATATATCTTTAAAAACCATCACAAAACAATCACACAACTGAGTTGATATCCTATATTTCAAAGCAATGATTTTTACATGAACCAATTAAAACACATACTAATGAAAACAGCATTCTTTGGGGGTGTTACACGAGATACAGCATTCCCACAAAAGCAACGAAAACAGAAATTTCCCAGTTTATTCCTTTTTCGTTATTTAGGTGTCTTCAAAGTGACTTAATCTAACAATCAGCAGAAATTTCATGGTAGACCTGCTTATAGTAAGAGAAGTATACACAAGGAGATTAGACACCTTCAAAGAGAAACATAGTTGGTTATTTTGCTGTTTTTTAATTCATTGATTACCCATTATCACTAAACCTCGTATTTCTGATCAATGTACTATCCTCAGTTGTTTCCACAGTTAATATACTGCAGAAAAATATTCAGGACATGTTGAAATATACAAATATTCTTTAATCAAGTAGACTTGTCTAGATTCAAGATCTGTGGTTTACTGGAAAAGAATTCTTAAAAAGGACAAATATAAACTTACCAGCAAAAATGCTATGTAGTTTAAGAAGCAGAAATTTATATTGCTCATACAGTAATTAGCAATGTTAGGAAGACTTGTGTGTTAAAAGGCTACCAACTTGGAAGCATTTAAAAAATATGACAAAGATAAAAAATTTTAGCCATTAGCTCTGTGATCAGGAAGAGAAATTTCAATTTATCTCAATATTGCATCTTGGAAGTTATTCATGGGCAATTTGTTTAATTTTAAAGCCAATTAGCTCAGAAAGAACAGAAATGTCAGACCACACCCATATAAGCCAATCACCAACACCAGAGGGAAGTTTTATGACCCCTGGATACAGGGGAATTGTACCTGCTGGCCTTCATGTGGCTTCGATAGCCATTTCGTGCCACTCTTGTCACCGGGCCCAGAGAATGGTATAATCTGTTCCTGTTGGATTCCATTATAAATTGTATACATTACATATACTTTTACTCACACAATTATCACCAATACCTAGAATACTATTAAGAGAGCACCTTTGTGTAACACTGCTTTCTAAATCTTACAAAAGGACAGTATGCGATTGTTCCTCTTTTTAAAGCATGCAGTATATTTTAAGAAATATTTATAGATGTTTAATACATATTATATATTTCTATAGACATTTATTTTCATCCATTCACCAGAAGAACTAAAAAGGTATTTTGTAGCCCAATAATATAAAAACCCAAAAATATGCTTCAGAAGAGCCTGTTTGTATTTTACTTCCTCCATTTGTGTTTAAATTTGGTGCCTAGCTTTCTACAAATAATTCACGTAATAATTTTTATTACGTGTCCTTATGAAGACACCTAAAAGCAATGCGGTTCATAAATTTAAAACTGATGAGGAAATCCTCTTTATAGTAAATTAAAGAGAATAAAGGAGACAAACTGCATAATAATTATGTCACTATTCTACATATCCTTTTTATTATTTCATGTCTGAATCTTGCTGGACAAGGTTTTCAAAATGTTTTAAGAGCCACTGATCTTCCAGCTGTGGTGACACACACCTGTAATCCCAGTACTTGGGAGGCAGAAGCAAAATGATTAATGCAAGTTTGGGGCTACAATGGGCTACAGAGTGAGTTCAAGGCCAGGCTAAACCAACATAGGAAGATGCTGTCTTTAAAAGCAAAAAACAAAATGAACCACTGGCTGGTCCGATGGCAGTTTTCAGATGGTTATCAGAACTTATTAACATTAGTGTCACTAAAGTTGGTATACCACCCCCCCTAAATTTGACTGGCTTAAAAAAAACAACAACAACAAAATGAAGCACTGTTTAAAGTTGGCACAAGTAGACTTTTCCCTCTTAGCTGCAAATGTCTGCAAAGTAAAACGGTCTGTCAGAGAAGAAAAAACACTTTTGAGATATCAAGGCCAATAAATACGGTATTGATAGGAAACCTGCTGGGATGAAAACATTAACACAACACCACTTTGGGTTACTCACTTACAACTTACGTAGTGGAAAGAACAATTTTGCTAATCAGTAATTTTTTATCTAAAACATAATATACTTTATAACCTACAGCTGATGGTATTATGCTTTTTCTAGAAAAAAGGATAATATGCACAAATTCAGAGAGCATGAAAAAAATAATTCTTGTGTTTTTTCCATTTCAGGCACACTGAAATTAAGAAAAATGAAAATAAGGACTAGAAAAAAGGCAGAAGGTACAAATAAATTTTAAGGAATCCCACAAGTGAAAAGAACAAAGCTTGGGAACACTAATAGAGTAGAAAGGACCAAAAGATACTATACTTTAAAATATATGGCTTATAAGTAAAATCTTAAATCACATAGTAGTAAGGAATTGGAAACAAGGATCTAATTTTACAGTTAACCAGCTTAAAATTTAAAGTGACTTAACAAGGTTGGGTGTGGTAGCACACACCTGTAAATCCAGCAACTCAGGAGGAAGGGAGAGGAGGATCAAAAATTTGAGGCCAGCCTGGGCAACATAGTGAGATACTGTTTCAAAAATAAAAATAAAAGGGCTGAGGACTGTAAATCAGTGGTAGAGTGCTTGCCTGGCATTAAAGAAGTCCTGGACTCCAGCTTTAGTACAGGTGGGCAGGAGGGAACCAAACTGTACATATTCAACTCAAATTTTCATATAATATTAACATTTAACCTAAACAATACAGTTTAAGGCAGTATTGGTAAGGCAAATGCTTATACCACCTAAGTTAAATCCCTGGCCAAACCCAAGCATCTAAAGCTATGTGATTTTTGACCAAGAAGTGAAAAACATAAATGGAGAAAAGACAGCCTCTTTTAACAAAAGGAGCTGGGAAAATTAGGTATCTCTTGCAGAAGCTAGATCATTATCTCTCATCCTATACTAAAATCAAATCCAAATGAAGCAAAGATGTAGATATAAACACAGAAACTTTGAAACTGCTGGAAGATAACAGAGGAACCTTTTTTTTTGTGAGACAGGGTCTCACTATGCAGTTCAGGCTGGCCTTGACCTCACAATGATTCCCCTGCCTCAGTCTCCTGAGTGTGGGATTACAGGTGTGTGCTAACAGAGGAAACTTTTGAAGCCATAGGCACTAGCACAGACTTCTTAAATAGAGCTCCAGTAGTACAGGAAATAATATAAAAAAATCAATAAATGTTTATGTCAAATTAAAAAGTTCTGTATAGCAAAGAATATGACAACCTACAGAATGAAAGAAAATTTTTGCTGGCTACTCTCCTAGTAGATAATATTTAGACTCTATATAGAAGAACTAAAAAAAATTTAACCTCCTCTAAAACAAATGATCCAATAAAAAAAATGAGCAAACTGACTAAAGAAACATTTCTCAAAAGTACAAACGACTACTGAGTATATATATGAAAAAACACGCAACATTTTTTTAGCCTTTAGGGTAGGGAAACGCAAATCAAAGTATCAAGATCCCTTCTTAGCACAGTCAAAATCACTAAGAACATAAAAAACAATAATGATGATGACAATGTAGAAGAAAAGTGATTGCTCCTCTACCATTGGAATATGACCTAGTATAAAAATATGAAACTTTTTTGGAGATGGTTGTGGAGATTCTTCAAAAAATTAAAAGTAGAAATACCATTTGACTCACAAATACCTCTGCTGGAAATATTTCTAAAATTAAGCACATTATAGTGAGACATATATACACGTTTATAGTGGCACAATTTCCAATAGCTAAGCTCTAGAAACAGCCTAGAAACTTGTCAACATACCAGTCCAATTAATAAAGGATGAGCAAAAATTGCAAAATTTTTTTTGTCTTTTTCTTTTTTATTGGTACCAGGGATCGAACTCACGGCCGCCTGCTTGCAAGGCAGGTGCTTATGCCGCTGAGCTAAATTCCCAGCCCTCCAAAATTGCAAATTTTTAAGCAGACCTCCCTGAACAATGCTTGAGATAGCCAGCATATAAATAAACATGCTGTCTAAGTGATGCTTGAGGTAAACTGTTTAGTTAAAAAAAAAGTGACAGACATAATGGATACTATTCAGTCATAAAGAAGAATGAAATCATGTCATTTGTAGGAAAATGAATGGAACTTGAGACCATCATGTTAAGTGAAATAAGCGAAATTCACAAAGTTAAATATTACATGTTTCCTCTTATATGAGAAACTTGAAATATAAATAGACAATAGGAAACTAGAAAGTAGGTCTGGGAATGGGGTAGGGAACTAGGTAAGGAGAAGAAAAGTGCGAGAGGCTAAAGAAAGGTACTGCAAATGATCAAGACGTTACATGCACATACCAATTAAACATACACTTAAAGAAAAGAGAATCCTAATGAACATTTAATATAAACTATTTGAATTGTTTGGCCACATTCTTAGACTTTGTATTGAATATCAAAAGAGAATTATTTGCTCCATACTGATGCTGCCTTTTAATCCTGCAACAAAATTTTATTAAAATTATTTAAAAATTTAAGTTGCATTGTTAAATATACTTCAAATTCAAACACATGTGTAAAGATACCAAACAAATACACGTATCTATAAGGCTACTGAGAGCTGATCATTCTTATTACGTACAATTCCAAACTCAAATATGAACAACTTAATTTAAGAAAACTTACGTGGTCCCTCAGAGATAGAGAAAAAAATACCTCTTCAAATTCATGGGGTTTTTTTTGTACTGGGACTTGAACTCACGACTTCATGCCTGCCAGGCAGGTGCTGCACCAATGAGCTATATCCTCAGCCCTCAACTTCATATTAGAATATAATCTTATGCAGACAAAATACATGCAAAGTTATTCAAATGGGCAATTTCTTTTACCTTTCAAAAGCAGGCCACGAGGTTTCCTCACTTAGTTCAGAACCATCACTGCTACCTAAAATCAAAAGATACTTTATTTAAACACCAGAATTATTTTTCCAACTTGGATTTTATATTTTAAAAAGTTCAAAGCATACATAATTTAAACAGCAAAATAAAAAGCAGCTAATAAAAAACAGGGAAATAGACCTTTTGCAAATGATAAGGGGATGTAGAAATGGAAGTAAAATTAAGACGTGTTGTGTACACGTACCAACTCCTCAGATGAATGTCACTAGTACTCAGTGCAAATGTGTACTAATAAAAATTTTAAACATTCCAAAATGTAAATATTTCTCTGTGCTCATAAAATGACAAAGGTCTGTGTGTTAAAGACGTGATGTGCAGTTGGGACTTACTGGAAGGCAGTGGATGGAGCCTGTGGAATGCTTGGCCTGTAGTCAAGGGTGGGGTACCACCGTAGGTGGGGACTATGGAACCCTAGCTCTTTCTCTTTCTCTCCTTCCCTTTCTGGTCACAAGGTGTGTGGTTCTGCTCTGCCATGTCCTTCTTCATGATATGCTGCCTTGACATATGCCCAAGAGCAACAGGACCAATTGATCATGGACTTTTTTGTGCTTTTGAGACAAGGTCTTGCTATGCAGTTCAGGCTACCAGAGTCGGTCTCTAACTTGCAACAATCCTCCTGCCTCTGCCCCCCAAGTGCTGGAATTACAGGGATGTGCCACCACGCTTGGCAATCATGGACTTTGAAACTAAGCTTAAATAACTGTTTTTTCTTTTTTCCTACGTTGATTTGTCTCAGCTGTTCATTATAGTGACAGGAAGCTATCATATCATCTTAGCTTTCTTTTTTGTACTTGATAATGATAGTCACAACTCTTCTCATATTTGAGATGCTAGACTTTCATAATACTACACACTGGTTTTTTTCTCCTTTTCATGGTTTAATAGTTTTTCTTTTATTCGTTTCTGTGGTGCTAGGGATCAAACTCAGGGCCTTGTGCATAGTACGCAGTTGTTCTATCATTAAGTTACATAACTCAGCCTCATCTACCTTCTTTGTTAAAAAACAGCTGGGCATGGTTGTACGCATCTTAATCCCAGCACTCAGGATGGTGAGGCAGCAAGATCTTGAATATGAGGTCAACCTGACATACAAAGTGAGCTCAAGGCCAGCCTGGGTTATATAATGAAGCCTAGTCTTAAAAAATTAAAAAACACATTCTCTTAAATGTTGGAATGTTCTTCTCTTTGTCTGTCTATCTTATCTTTTTGAGACAGGGTCTTGCTATGCGGTACAGGCTGGCTTTAACCTCACTTTGTAGTCCAGGTTGGCTTTAAATGCACAGTGATTCTCCTGGCTAGTCCTCCTGAGTGCTGGAATTATAGGTATGTGCCACCATGCCCTTCTCTCATTTATTGATGCTCTCTCCTTCAGTGATTATCAACCAGTCTCCTGGTTGATATCCATATCCAGTCTCCTACCATATAAATATGGTAGGTCATACCCTTAGACCACCCACTTGCCAGCACCAACTAAGCTTCAGGTTTACACACTCAACAATCCAACATCTAGATAAGCACCAAACACACTGAAAACAGAATCATTAATCCCTGAAACTCAGCTCAGCTGTCCTTCAAACATCTCACTGCTCACACAAGTGCTCTTCCAGTTCTCTTTCCCAGCAACAGCATCACCATCTAAAAATAGCTCCTTAATCCATATAACTTAAAACTTCTTTTGATGCCACACTTTTCCTCATTTCTACAACCAAACTGCATGCAGATAACCAATTTAAATCTGTCTGCTGTTTGCTACTAGTATTCAAATGCCTCCTCTTCTGGATTCAAAAACATTAGTACTTTAAAAACTATCATTAAATATTACTTTCACACTATATTTGTTACTTTAAAAAATCTAAATTTTAAATCAAATTTTCACTATTTGTAGTTGGGCAAATGAAACTTTCCCAGCTTAAGTTTTTTTGGTTTTTTGAGACAGGATCTTGCTGTGTATCTCAGACACACACCACACAGCCCAGGCGGGCCATGAACTTGCAGTGCTCCTGCCTCAGCTTCCCAAGGACTGGGATTTCAGGTATTTCCCACCACACCTGACTCCAGCTTAGTTTTATTTATTTATTTCTTTTCTTTTCTTTTTTTTGTCTTTTTCATTTTTATTGGTACCGGAGATCGAACTCACGGCTGCCTGCTTGCAAGGCAGGTACTTATGCCACTGAGTTAAATCCCCAGCCCTCCAGCTTAGTTTTAAATTCTTAGTTTATAGAAGTTGGAACCCTCTCAGAGAACCATTCCTTACCTATTGATATTCCACTAGAAAGAGTAGAACTTTCAGCTTGGCCTCGAGATGGTGCGTGAGGCTCCATGACGCTATCATCTAACAGATGTCTTGGCCCTGCATTTGGGAACGTTGCACTCTTAAACTCTGCTGTGTTCATTTTATGAATGAAACTGGAAACAAAGAGAAACACTTTCAGAACTTTTATTATGTTACAATTCAGGATATACAAGATAGTCTAAGATTTTGGCCAGAAAAATTTATCTGCTATCCTGAACTCACTTCTCAACTTTTGTAGTAATGAACATACTGATTTTATCAGGAAAGCCTTTAACTAACACTTCCAGGAAAAGGTTTTAGGAAACCCAGCTATATCTACCTGTATAATGAGAACACATTTTAATTTCATCTTAAGTCTCAGGTATATTAAAAAACTGTTTTCAAGTTCACTTTTAGAGAATAATTATGAAGTTAAAACGTCACTTTCCTTTTTCTTTATACTCAGGAATAATTTTTAGACCTTAGTACTTATTTTAGGACTTCTCTGATATAAATGTTGTGATTAAAAGGAAAATGGTATATTACTGTTTTAATTCTACTTATAATGGCTCTTTCATTTATCTTCCTCAAATATGAAGGCAGTGGTTGAAAACAGTTTCAAATTCTGGGTCAAGGGAAAAAAAGATTCTTTTAGTAAACAAGATGTTCTACTCAATCAAAGATTATTAAAAATATTATGAAAGGACACTATTTATTAGCTGTTTAATAAAGTAAAGAAAATAAATGCAACTGCAAACAACCTAAAAATTGAGAGGTAAAATAACAAATGCTGACTTATAACCCAAGCTGTGGCACTTCCTGTGCCCGTGCGGAATCAGGTTCCGAGGAGACGGAGGTGTCTGCGGCAGCAAGGCCCCCTCAGCTGCTATACTCTTCCGTCCACTCTGCGGGGATGCTCCTACTTCAGGACCTAAGGGTTCAATTAAAACAGGCAGAGGAAATTTTCAGGTGGTTTCAAAGGATTATTTTATTTTTAATTCTTTGATATAAAGTATATATTTTAACTGATTTGAAGATGAGGAATACTTATTTTTCAAGTGCTAGAGCACAGACCCCCAAACCATACAAAAATCCATTAATTTCTATCTTTTTTTTACTTGCACTAAGTAGAGGCAGTGTAAATATATTCTCCATTTACATAGGAAGGAGCAGAACTGGCTCAGGACCTCACCTCACAGACAAAACCTGGCCTGCACTGGGGATGGGAGCCCGTGCCTGCAACTCCAGCCCTAAGGAGAATGAGGCAGAAGGATCGCTGTGAGTTTGAGGCCGATCTTGCTTAAATAGTGAGCTCAAGGCCAGTTTGAACTACATAATGAGACCGTGTCTCCAAAACAAAATCCAAAACAAAAGACAACAACAAAAACCCCCAAAACTTGGTCTAAATACCTAGGTCTTCTGAGTCCTAGGTTCAGTGCTTTTATTTTTATTCACTGCTTTTTTACTCATGGAAGTTTCTGCTTCCTTTAACAGAAGGTGCAGGGTGGGGGTGTTAAGCACTCATGTTAAAAGTCATATGTAAATATACAACACATTCAGTTCTGTAAAATATTGCTTTAAGAATTAAAAACACATTTTAAGAGATTTAGACTAAAGTATTTTCCTTGGAACGCCCTTCCTCTAGATAATCATGGCTTGTTACCTTACTTTTTCACATTTAATTATTAGATGGCCTTCAAATATTTTAGAATATACAATAAAAGGTTAGTGTGAAGTTGTATATTGGCAATAATCAGTTATTTCTTTCTTTTTTTTGTTTTTGGTCTTTTTCCTTTTTATTGGTACCGGGGATCGAACTCATGACTGCCTGCTTGCAAGGCAGGCGCTTATGCCGCTGAGCTAAATCCCCAGCCCCAATCAGTTATTTCTTAAAGGAATAATTTCTTCAATTATATGTTTCATTGATTACGGTATAAGACCCCATTATGCAACAGATAAAATAGGCAGCATTTTAAAAATAGCTTTAGTTTTGGACTCAGTATTAAGGAAACTTTTAAATTAAGTCACTCAAACTGATTTGAGTAATTATTTGAATTAGTAGTTTTAGATTTATACCACAGATCAACCCTCATTGCCTAGAGATTGCATTCTTAATCTTAGAAACGAACAGAATATTCATAATTTCTCATTTCTGTTGCACCTGTTTTCCTGGATTAGGTAACATTTACTTGCATATTGCTGACAAAACTACAAGCAACTTTTTAATTAAAAAAACAAAAGCCTAGGGCTAGAGATGTAATCAGTGTTGAGTACTTTCCTAGCATGTGTGATGTCCTAGGTTCAACCCCAAAGGCAAAAAAAAAAAAAAAAAAAAAAATCAAAATGACTAATAAAATTTTATTTTACAAAATATTGGATTTCAATGTGTATTTTACATGCATATAACACACTCTAATTATACCTACTGCCTCCCTGTTACTCTTCTCTTTTATTCCCTACCACCTATGCCCTTCCTCTTATCTAGTAACAGTAGGGATCGATAAGATTTTATAACCAAAAATAAACTTCTGTATACAATACAAGATATGCTAAATACATATTTACTTTGAGGTATATTCTTTTTTATTTGGAGACGCAATTTATTATTTACAACTGAGAGAAGACAATGCACTAACCTACTAAATCTTCCCTGGAAGCAGTAGACCGTGGTGTACTTGTCCCTGGTTCTATTTTTAATGAGAGCCTGAATTTTTAAAAGACAGAACACATGAAATGATGATTTAACCAAGTAATATTAAAGTCATGCATTTTCTCAAAAAGTAAACACTTTTATAAAATAATGTGAACTAGTTTTTTTCCAGAGCATCTTCTATTAAATTACCTCTTTTATCCAAAGCTAACCCAGTGGCAGTTCTAAGAAACACTAACAAGGAGAAAAGGAAAAAACAAAAACAAAAAAACCCACCCCAGACTCTTATATTTAAAAACCAGAAAAAGGTTTTTCAGATTACCTCAAAAGTTCCAAACACTTTAACACATTTAAGATACTTGCTGAAGAACTAAAAGACAACTGACGTATATTTTTACACTTAAGTGAAGACACTTAAATTCAGGAATGTTCATATATATATATATATATATATATATATATATATGTGAATTATAATATGAATCTTATTTCTACAATCTTTAGTGGATAAACTAGGTGACTTTAACACTGAAAATTTCAAAAACACTCTATTCAAAAGCCATCTAACAAATCAACTAATATAGCTTATCAAAAGAAAGATCTGTACCAGTGGTGGCGAACCTAAGGCTCACGTACCACAGTGGGTTGTTATCACAGAAAGCTCTAAGAGGTTCACCACCACTGGTCTATACAAATAAAAAGGTGGTGAAATTTCTAGTAAGTCCCTATCCTGTATCAAAGTGTCTTGTTACTTTAGTTCCATTTAGGATCACATAGCCAGTTGAGTTCCACAGCAAAGAGATTATGATTCATAGGTTGTAGAAAATGCTTTAGTATGAAGCTTAAGGCTGTTTAGCATTCTACTAAATTGAATTTTTAATGAAATTATGAAATACAAGTGGCATTCACAATGATAAATCTAATGTAGGTTAGCAAGCAAAGATTTCCTTGATAATCTAAGAGGAAATTAAAGATGATACATGCTAATTATGTGACAACATAAATGATGTGAGTTGAATAGATGGAATGACCAACCAGAACTTTGTTCATTTTCTTTGTATAGAGCAATCAAGTTCACTGTTTAGGTCACAGACTAGTCAGTCATCTGACATTTACTGAACATCTGCTTTGTGCTGGGGACTGTGCTTCTCTCTATCATGTAAGAGACTAAGGTAGATATGATACCTTTGCGCTACAGCAGCTTATGTTATAGTCTGTAAAAGATGAAGTAAAGAACATAACCCTAATTTTCTATCAGCACCCAATTACTGCACAAATCACACTGCTACCTGTAGCAACTGGTAACTGACAATATAAAAAGCTCTTTAAGGAGCCCAGCAGTGACTACCACTCCAAATGCCAGTAGCCGGTCATCAAAGCAGCGTGTAATAATGGTGATGCTGACTCATGTTATATTTAGCATTATAATTAAACAGACAAAGATTATTATCTTGATTAAAAGACTTGTATGTAACCTGTAATATCTATACTGGCTAAGGCAGAATATCAAAACAGGTCTTTGGGTAAGTGTCACTTTAATACTTTATCATGATTTAAAAAATGTGCTAATAATGTTAGTGGATTTAATCTTAAAAGGATTTTCCCTTTAAACAACATTTAATTAGTAGACTAACACAACTGCATTTTCAGCAAAACACAGTAACTTCTCCAGTCTCTCTCATGATGCTCAACACCATCAAATGACTTAACAGTTCCTCAAGTAAACTGCCCCATTCTTCTGTTCACTCTACCACAAGGACGCTTTATGTATGTATGTATGTATTTTATTTTATTTTAAAGATAGTAAAATCCAACAAAACAGAACAAAGCCAATCAAAACAGAATAATAATAAAGCAAACAATCAGAACAAAGCAAATCAGTAAGAACAATACTGGAGTTGAGACAAGATACAAGGAAACCCCCCATGTTTGCTATACTGCTGTCGCCCTCCCAAGAAATGCTTGGACCGCTGGCCTTAGGCCTGCAAAACCAACTAAACACTACAAGCCTTTAGTTGCTTTTTGTACCTCAGTTGCTATCAACTCAGCCTGTCCTCTTGAACAGCTGGTTGCTTGGTGGGTAGGTGGGTGGGTGGGGATGCTGATTTTCAGGCCAAGCCTTGGTAGGCTTGGTAGGCGGCAGGCTCGTGGGAGGCACTACCTGACTTTTCTCTTCCTGGAAACCGCATAGCTTGTGAGGCTTACCAGAAAGGCTGGCTACTTGGCTTCTTGTTGGGTCCTTCCAGTCCCAGCATAGCTGATTTTCGGGAGGTGCTGACTTTTCACTTCCTGTAGGATGCCTGTCTTTACCCACCAAAAGTTGCCAACTTTTTTTTTTGAGATAGGGTGAACTCATGGCAATCCTCTTGCCTCAGCCTGAGTGCTGAAATCATGTACTGAGATTACAGGCTAGCACTACCATGTCCAGGGGTGCTAATTTCTATTCACTCATTAAAATGCTGCCTCGGGGCTGGGTGTGGTGGGGCACACATGTAATCGCAGCACTCGGGAAGTTGAAGCAGAAGAATCCCTGCTGAGGTCAAGGTCAGCCTGCCCTGCATGAGACTCTGTTAAAACAACAAAAAACAAAAACACCCAAAAAAACAAAAAGCCGCCTCAGGTGGACAGTGTTTCTTGTAGCTATTCATCTTTCTCTTTTCTTTCCTTTTCTTACTTAAAGCTGGGTTAGGCCTTCCCTTATCTATGTTTCCACACTACCCTTGGCATATATCATTACTATCGTACTGTTTGCATATTTTGAAACCAATTGTTTTTTAGATGTTTGTCTTGAATAACAGAAATTCTGGAGGACAAGAACAATATTTATTTTGTAATTCCAGGAACCAACACAGTAAATGTTGTATAGCAAAAGCTTCGTGTTTTTAAATGAATAATGAAAAAGCTTCTCTGATTCCAGCCACTCATAAACACAAAAATCAATACAATGGCATCAGTCTTCCTATAAAGATGAAGGTATCTGATGCCAGTTTATGTATGGGATAGTTAGAACCACTTAATGGCTTTAATGGTTGAATCTGTGATAGACTGTGATAGCACAACAAAATTAACTTCAATAAATAATCTCTTACACATTTACTGCAATCAGTAAAAATCGATGTAAAATTCTACTTCATTTCTACTTTGACTTTTTTTAAGTCTGTAAGTTTCATGAGTCAGACAAAAATTTTTTAATGGATACTCATGTTTTGAGTTTTAAGATATCTGTTCAAAACCCAAGTGTTAGGTTAAGTGCTATGTCAGTAATTGGAGAGGAGAAAACATTTATAAACAGAGAGCATGAAATTCAAGAAACTTACAACACAGTGTAAGAGATTTATGAAACAATTCCAGCCTTAAAATGTTCATTCATCTGCCATACCTAGACGTTCAAATGAATACGTAAAACTCTTGGTAAAATAAAAATCATTATAGAAATAAAAAATCCTAATATTACAATATGCAGGAGAAGATGGCAATAGGGTATTTTTAAGCATTAATTAATTTTTACACATTTAAATATATATTCAGAGTGTAACAGAGTTACTGGCTGAAGAAAAGTTCATTTCTAGTTGTTTTCCAGAATTTCTAGGCTTTCAATCAGATTCTGTTCTACAGAATTATGCAAAGACTGTTAAAACCTACTGAACAAGAATATTGATAATCATTAAATAGGGTAAGAAAATGTTCTTTATTATTGCTCAAAAATAAATCTTTTTACTTTGATCATAGTTTAAAAATATAACTTTTGGGGGGATAAAAAGAAGAAGACATAAAACTCAATTTGGGAATCTGGGAACAATTGGAATAACAAAGTTAAGTAAAAAGCTGGGCATGGGAGCTGGGGATTCAACTCAGTGGCTTAAGCGCCTGCTTGGTGAGTGCGAGGTCATGAGTTTGATCCCCAGTACCGCCCCCCCCCCAAAAAAAAAGCTGGGCATAAAGATGTGATGACACGCCTGTGGTCCCAGCTATTCGGAAGGCTGAAACAGGAAGATTATTTTTGAGTCCAGTAGTTTGGGAACAGCCTGGGCAAAATAGTGAGACCTCATCTATATTTTATTTTTAAAGCTAAGCAAAAAACATACATTAAAACATTAACAAATGAAGCTAAAAGAAAAATGAAAAGCATGGAGAGAAATAAGCTCTAAATCCTCCCATACTTTGAAAACTCAGCAGTTAAGATACAAAGTGGTTTACCAAAATGTGAAGAAGGACAACACTGTAAAAATCTCCCTGTCCTAAGCAACATTATGAACAGTAAGGGTAACTACAACTGGAGAAAGATAAAATACTTTTAGGAACAAATGACATTTTATATATTGATTCAATAATACCAAGAGATTAAAAAGAAATATGCTAACTACTTTTACTACTGTTAATGTACCACTGGAGTAAGTACCTGTACATAATGCAAGATTTAGATACTGAACGACATTGAGATGTTTAAATATAATAGTGGAGGACAGGACAAAAAGTACAAACCAATTTTGAAGATCCAACCTACTTGTAATTATCATCTTCCACAAATTTTTGTAGTTCTTCTATATATTGAACAGAGTTCAGATATTTTTGGACATGAGGCAACATGGGAATATCTAGGGAAAAGGTGATAAATAATTATCCAATAAAGTATACCTTAAATAGAACTGAAAAAAGTTAGAGAAAAATAATTAAAGGAAAATTAAAGCTACATGGTACCAAAATTGAAATTAACTATAAGAGAAATTAACTGTAGGAATTTACTGAAATAAATTTTATTTAAAATAAAGCTGAAGGAAATTTTAAAAATTATAGCTGCACACAGCTTGTATAGCTAATAAAAACAACCATGAGCTCCAATTATAAAGTCCAATGTATTTGAAAACTTCACAGAAAGAAGATCAGAAAGACTTCATTTTGATTTATAGTTAAGCTTCAGCTCAATGTAAGAAATGAGGGCAGTTATTTTTCTTTTAAAGGAACTTGTCTTTCATTTGTGAATGTGTCCCCCTACCCAGTTACAAATTTCAAACAAGATTAGGTTAGCATTACTATTTGGTGTTGTGTCTAAAAAACTGAAAAAGGACAGAAAATAGATTTCATTTTCAATACCATCTTTCCCTACTCTCCTTTCAGAAAGATTTTTTAAAAGTAGAGTTGCATATATGCGAAGATAGTTTTAAGATATGCTTATGTGAAACAAATTAGGTGATTTAAACACGTTTTTTCTAAGCCATACAAACTATGTCAGTTTATGGACACTTAGAACTACTTTAGTAGCTTCAATGACTGAGTCTATTTTTATTCCCTATCAAAATGAAAGGAATCCAAACAGTTAAAAAAAAAACCTTACTTTTCTAACTATCTGGGCTTACTTATTTCAATGTACTATGTCATTCCATAAAAAACACTGGGGCAAAAACTGATTTGCTCAGTATCTGACTCTAGAAAGTTAGTCAATTGTTCTAGAAAACCATTAGTAACTTTCTTAATTGAAGAAAGTAAGAACTACTTACAAAACAGTGATTAAATGACACGAATAGAAAGTAATTTCAAAAACTTTATAAAAAGGCTAAAAATTGTGAGGTGGTAATAAATACTTATCTTTGTGCTTTGTAAACAAAGCTACTATAAAACAGCAGAAAAAATAAAATGAAAAATATAAATTTCTTAAAAAGTATCTTAGAAAGGATACTAAGCTGGCACCATGAGATACGAATGTAGCCCCCGTTAGTGAGGAAGCTAAGGCAAGAGGACTGCAACAGTTCAAGACTAACCTGGGCAACACAAGGGCACCCTGAACACCAAAGCAAACACAGTACCAATAGTAAATAGTCAAGTGAAAGACTACGATTCTCCTTTATGGTACAATGGAATAAGAAAGTGACGTTCACCGCGGTGTGAAAAGTAGTCATCAGTGTATGATAGTGAATCACCGAAACCACAGCATGATACTGGCTCAACATTATCTCCCAGAAACTTACCATATTCACAGGACTGCTGAAAATCAGAAATTATCCGCAGGATGTTATTCATTAAGTTTGTTCTTTGCTCATTTTCTAGAATGCTGCCAGTTGATGGATATGCTGAATCAATGTATGTTAAATCTGACAAGTAGATACCTGAAAGTAAGTTAGATAAAACGTTTTCTTACTTGTAGTTTGGAAGAACATGACAAAGTGAAGGAGAAAAAGTTCACTTATGGATACTTCCAGTGCTTTCCGTATTTAGAATATATTGTCATTATATTAGCAACATGTGGGGACTTGGGGCTGAGAGTTAAATAAAGTTGGGGTCAGACGTGGACATAATATGTTCCTTGTAAATGTCTTCTGATGATACTGTTTTAAAGTATGTTTAAGGCCGCAATTAGAAATTCTGACGTGTATGGGACTTGAAAGAGGCTGAACTGGCTTTGCTTCTGACTAGCTGCATGATAAAGACATTTTTCCATTACCTATTTTTCATGTTTTATTACAATTAAGAAGTTAGCTGTAGCTAGCCCAGCCAGTGTCTCACATAAGAAAGTTTTATCTAATACTAGTCTTATACCCATATCTTCAGATGACCAATACTCTTACACTACTGGACTGAGTCCTAACTGCTGTACTTTGAAAATTATCAAAATCTGGTAGAAATATCTTAGGTTTAACGATCAACAACTGGATTTTTCCCCCCCTCTTTGGGACAGGGTCTCACTATGTAGTTTGCCTGACCTTGAACTCACTATGTAGCCCAGACTGGCCTGGACCTCACTGCAGTCCTTCTGTGTCAGCCTCCTGAGTGCCTGGATTACATGTCTCTGTACCATAATGCCCAACTAACAACTGTATTTTTCAATGTGACTATAAGTTAAATTTTTCTGTTCCTTTCATGTTTTTAACAAAATAAATATCATATTTCCCCAAATAATTTGGTTGTATTAGTCTCCATCATGGAAGGTCACTCACTTTAACATACTTCCCCATGATTTACCATTCATATGTCAAATGTGTAACACAATTATCGTAGGAGAAAAAAGAGTGTACTTTTCTACTTTTCACTTATTACCTGCTTTCATAGACGGTCAGGGATAATGGAACCAAAATGACATACCAGCGTCTCCTAGGTGAGCCCTAAGTTACTGCGTTCAGCCACTTACATCTTTACTCATTCAAATCTTACACATCCAGTTTGTTGTCTCATTTTCCCATAAGGTCAACACTGAACCTAACTACTGAATTTGATTCAGTTCTTGTCCAATTTTGTGACCAGAATTGTGCAAAGAATTAAGTTCATGAACCAAAGCACCACTGGATTCTTGAAGCCACCTATTCTAAATACATTTTTTCCTACGTCTTCAAATCAATCTACAGCATTAGTGTTTTTCATTTCCTCCAATCTCCGAGGAGCATCCTTCTCTTCTTTCCAAATCCAAATTGCAATACTGAGTGTAACTGCTACCACCTCTTCCCACACATCCACTATTGTCTCTACTCTCCTTCACCTCTCTCCTAGCGATTCCTTCTTAGAGCCAGTAGAAACATTTAAGTCTAACTACTTAGGAAAATGAAAAGCAGTCTTTCAAATCTGATTCTCTCAAGAGAGGACGCTTATCTACCTCCCTTCAATAAACACCTTGAAAGGGAACACAGGACAGCATACTTATTTGCTTTATCCTTTATTCTATTTTTACTCTAATATCTGATGAATATTAAAGTTTATAAGACCCTGAAATATCAAAACAAAAAAATAAAAACGGTACTAGATAGCCTGGCTCCAATGCATCCTTTGGCCCTTGTGAGCTATTTTACAAGTTGCAAAACTGGTAATAATACAAATCCATTCATTGGGTTTAACCGCTGAACTGTACTGCATCCTGGGCCCTGGCCATGTTTGCTATTTTCTAATTGTGTCTCCCTGAGCTGCCTAGGCTTACCTGCAATTTGTGATTCTTCTGTTTTATCATCTGAGTAGCTAGAATTATTGTATAGCTTTGCTCTGCTGTGCCTGACCTTGTATTCCTAACAGGAATACGAATTCTTGATTTTAACAATGCCAATGAATTATATCTAGTGGGATACAACAAGACTGCCTGCCCTGTGGATGCTGACAAATTTAGCAACTACTTGTGAATTCATTTCAACACTTCTAATGACTTCTATGTATGTTACTTTGAATTATCCCTTGAAGTAAATGGTTGTATCTTCCCAATTCCCCCCTATACATTTAATGATTTAAATAAAATCTTTGGACACACACTGATTTTGTATTTGGATAAGAACTATTAATTCATCTTTAAGAAATTATCATTTTATACATGTAACATCTGTTATCAGTATTTGTGAAAAACCAGTCAATTTAAAAACTGCAGTCTCCCTAAGGAGAGCTAAAAAGATTCTTCAAGGAAAGGGCATCAGGGATGTCTGTACATGTACATGAATAATATTAGTACAAGGTGACATTAAAAGTAACAGAACAAGTTAAAGGGAAGTTTTACAAAAGTTCTTTGAAGGAAATGTCACTGCCTGCTGATGAGATCAACAAAGGCTTCCAAGGCAGAAAATAGATTTCAGCTGGGCACTTTATGTCCCAATTCTTGCCATTCTTCCACTACCACTATTTATAACTATGCTGTTCCAAATGATAGCCATTGCCACCTGTGACGATTTCTAATGTGTTTATTCTGAATTTGTGTTTAAATAAGTTAATAAAACACTATAACATCATTATTACTATTATATTATGTTTGTTCCTTCCAGAAATAACCACCGTTCTGAATTTTAAGATTCTCTTTCCCCCAAAGACATGGTTGTATCTCTGGATAATCTATTATTTATTTTTAAGTTTTAAAAAATTATATTTTATATGTATGACTAAATGGAGTAATATCTATAGTTAGAAAAATATCTAGTATATTCTAAGTGATTTATAAGCGTTTATTAAATACATTTTAAAAAATATGGTTTTCTGCAAAATAGTTAACACAGGACAAAAAAAGGGAAGTATCCACTAAGCACTGCTGGTAATTAACTGAGTAAATTGTGAGTAAAGAAAACACAATATTGCTTTGTTTCACTATTTTGTTATAATTTTGTTTCTGCTGTTAAATACAGCAGTAATTCCTTAAGAATTATTCCTTGAGAATATTGTCAAGATTATATCACAATTTACTCATTTGATCTGACAAACTTTTGAGTTACTTCCTTACTCCATGTTACTATAGACATTCTTGTACTTGTCTCCTACTGTATACTATCTATGCAAACTTCCCTTAGGACACACGCACTTGGACCAAACTGCCAAGGTTTTAAGATACATTAATATTCAACTTTACAAAATAGTGCCCATACTGCTTTTTAAAGTTTTATCAATTCACATTCCACTGGCAACATATGTCTCTGACCCGTATTTGTTCTATTTTGGCATTATTACATTTTTGCCAATCTTACTACATAATATCTTTCTTAGTAATGAGTTTTGTCCATTTTTTATCTCTTACTGATTTCTAATTTTTTGATATACTGAGGATACTAACCCATTTGTTAAACTGTATCCAGTCACTGTTCAACCCACTATTGTAAATACAAACTCCGTACCTAATATGCTGCTGAAAAAATTTTTTTTTAAATTTAGGGATCTTTGGAAAAAAGAGCCCATTAATCATTTTATTACAAGAAGTGGGTCAACACCTGAGATACTTCTAATGCAGTAGCGAGGCACAGGAAAACACATAAAAACAGACAGTAAACCCTGGCCTCATAAGGGAGGAGTTCTAGAGCACAGTTACAGGATAGGTGTTACAGAGATCCAAAAGTCAATGCTAGGTCACCAGAGAGTCTTTAGAAACACATTCCACAGAGTACAAAATTAGGTACAATCCTCATTCTACTTCCAATTTAGCTGTATAGAAAACCTGGCAATGCTAGTTGGTATTGATTATGTATTATCCTTAGGGGTTAAGTCTCACTATGTAGACCAGAATGGCCTCCAACTTAATGGTGGTTTTCCTGCCTCAGCATCCCAAGTGCTAGGATTAAGGGGCTGTAGCTTCACACTCAACTATGAGATTCCTATGGAGTTCCTCAACTTCAATAAAGAAAGTCACCTCAAACTACAGTTTATGGTGTCCCAAACACTATTAGAGCAGAATGGAAAGTAGGGCTATGGGGCTCAGGGCCTCCCAACAGGGCAACCCATCTCTCTGGGACACAAGAGCGCAGCAGCCAAGCCACTCACCAAGATGAGAAGACTGCGGTCCTGCGGCCTCTCCACACCACAGAGGGCATCCTGTACCTGCAGCACCTGGGGCTGTCGCACACAGCATCCACGGCTACTCTACAGGCCTGCGGCAGCACCCAGAGACAGTATCTGCTGCTGAATCTTACTTTCCAGAAGACATTATTGACCATTTCAATCTCTCGCCTCTCCCTTCTAATTTCTTTGCAAGGTTTTTGGTGGGACTGGTGATTAAACCCAGGGTGTCCACACAGTTATATTCCCAGTACTTCTTTAAAATTCTGAGACAGGGTCTCACAAAGTCCCAAGTTGCCCCAGTCGAGCCTGAACTTGCAATCCCACTGTCTCAGGCGCTTGCAGTACTGAGATTACAGGCATGTGCCTGCATACCTCACTGCTCTGCAGTATTACAGCCACTGACTTTTCCTGTTTGATCATATCTAGCCTTCCCCCCTTGATTTTTCTGTTTCCTCTCATTTCGTGGATGTTGGTATTCTTCATGGCCTAATATTAAAATTTAATTTCGAACACTTTCTCTATAGTATCTTAGTTCTGTAGCTTCAGCTGCTACCTAATTGCTGATGACTTTTCAGGACTCTCAACAGAAGTGAGCTCCTAACTTTCAATTTCAATTCAATTAGGCAAATCTACCGTTGCTTGTCCCTAAACACTTTCCATTCCAATTTCACATGTTGTTTAATGATAACATTAATTGTTCAAGTTAGGAAAACTCAAGCCTACTTAAATTAAAAAGTCCAGAGGGAAATTTACTAGCCCGTATTTCATGCAAATTAAACTATTAATGGCTACACCAAGACCACTGGATGATGAAATAATATGTAACAGAAACCAGAGGCTAAAAACTGGTAGTCCATCTGTCCCAATGTGGAGAATGGGAAAAGTCTGCATGACTCTCTTTTCTTGAAAAATCTAGCAACATTGCCTCATTTTTTAAGGCTAACATGTAGTACTGCCAAAAGGTGCAGATCCCTTTAAATTAACTCTAAGGGTGCCAGTTCATCAATACCTTCATTTTCTTCTCAAGTTCACATGATTTAATTATATAAAGGGCTTCATTTCTTGTTTTGAGTATCTTTATAAGAGCTTTAGTTTGTAACTCTTTGTATATGTATAAATTCAAAGAAACAATTTTTTTTCTTTAAATAAAGGATGTGAGTCTATAGGGCCTATGAGCAGGAGAAAAATAAATCCAGCTAGAACATAAGGTATGAAGGGGAGGAAGCCCAAAAGTGTTCTTTAGAGAAGCAGTATTCAGCTAATCCAAAGAATATGGTTAATACTTTCGTGTGAGGTTCAAACCCCAGTTGCACTGCTTACCACTTAAGTACTAAGCAAAGTTACTTAAAGATGCCTAAGTTTATGTTTTTCAGCTATTGAATTAATATTTCTTAATTTAACAAAATTCAATAGCATAATATTCAGTTCTTTATTAATTCCCTCGCTGGTCCCCTATTTTCATAGTAGAAGAAACAGGGTCAAAAGAACGCGAAGTGATTTGTCTAAGCTCACATTGTGAGGAGTCAGAGCGCTCTTGTTTTTCATTCAGTTTAGGGTTATGTTTGTTTTTTAAATGGCAAGACATCAACTAGTAACAAGAATGACCTTATTTGGACAAGAGAAGTCATTTTGTAGAACATGCTATTATGCAGTGTATCATCAGAATTCAAGACTAAAAAGCATTAAGTTTCTCAAAGAGCTTCACTTATTTTTGTTAATTATATGAAAGCAGTTTTACATGAAAGGAGTATACTGTAACATACAATGAAATCAAGATCTTGTCTTAAGTTTAAAATTTTCTGAAATAGCAATTTAAAATGTTTAAAACTTCTAGACTATAAAAAAACAACATTATTGAGGTTACTGCCTGACCAAGTACAGCTCTTGTTCTAAAACCAAACTCATTAGCCTGCCACTACTTCTAAAGTGAAGTTGAGTACTTATTTTCAGTATTCAATTTAAAAGCTCTCTGGCTAGCAGACTAAAATGTTTGTTTTCTAATTGCCTGCTGAACTGACAGTCTGTTTCCAGATGGTGCCCTTCCTTCAACCTGCACACAATCTCCCCTTGTTTGGAGCTATTCAACCTCCTGCTGATCCCACTCCCCCCCATCCCTATTTAAGGCGACAGAGAGGAAATCCTAAGCAGATTTCCCCCCTAGTCTCCAGCAATTTCTGGTGACGTAATATGTGGGCTGAACTTGAGTCTACTGAGAGAGGGAATCACTATTCAGGGTGCTGTGGCTACAGTCCGCTCAGCTGCAGCTGGTTATGCACTTCTCTGCTCCATGTGGCAGACAGCAAAGCCACAATGCTTTCTCTGCTGGATTAGAGACAGCCCGCAGACCAGAACTTCCACTACTCTACTTAAAATTAAATAGGCAGTTTGTCAAATTCAATCGATTAATACTGTAAAAAGGAAAAGAAGTTCCTCATTACAGCCTGGAATCAACCGTCCAAAACAAAAATGCAGTTGCCATTAACATCGTAGATGAACAAACTTCTACACTGATTCTTAAAAATCAAGAATAAGGCAGCAAGTTTCTGGATTCACATTATCAACAGACACAAAAGGTATTTAATATTTTTCTTATTCAAAATATGTATATATCAAAATGCATAATTATTTTACATTTTAGTTGAAATTTCAAAATCTATTTAAAGAACTTTGAAGCAAACTACAATTTATCTCATCTGGAAAGGATTTTGTTTTGTAACTATGTCATTAAGTATTTTTATGATGGTTAATATATTATTTAAGGTTTGATTTAGTAACATTTGATGTATATAATTATAGATTAATACATACAAGCTGGGTTTCTGTAAACAAACGCTTTAGTGATGCCAGAAATAAATTTTAATTAACACACTAAATACGTAAGATTTATGATATAATAATCAGTAACAAAGGGTTGGAAACATGATTAGTTTTTCTTATAGCTAAAGTGTGTGCTGAAGATACACATAAATTCTTGGATTTCTCAAAGTATGGCTGCAAAACAAAGTTAAGATATGAAAACAAATTTATTTTCAACAAAACCTCAAAGTATATTAAGCAAAATTCTTACAAAAACATAAATTTATACTATTTCTTGCTATAATTCAAAACTTTAGCTTTCTGCATTTACATGTGACAGTAATTTAATTTGGTTAACAAATTAAAACCGCTACAACTGGCATTACTTGGAAAAGCTAAATTGTTGATAATATAAAAGCTAAATCTTCTTATAGGTTAGTAGTCACAATGAGTAGAAGATAAGTAGACAGCATTAATAATACAAATATGGACCCGGAAGATGTAATATATGATTAAAAGGCCAAAACTTACACAGTATTTTTAGACAGATAACCCCAGGAACCATAATGTCTTTCAATACTCTTTTTTAATTATGAGAATTACTAAAAATAAATTACCAGTTACCAACAGTAAGCTTTAACTCTAAGGACATTTAAGTTTGTTATGAGAATCTTCTGATCTTTTAATTTTAAATACTAAGAATTTCACCAAGAAAATAATGGTAAATCTGAGGTTTTAAAAAACTTTACTTTCATCTCCTTTCCTTAAAGATGCAAAACTCTATACAGTGGAAAGATCTCTGTGAAAGACAAGTTTGCAAGAGATTCTGATAAAATTTCAAGCAATACTAGATCTTAAGTACTTGTTATCTCTATCGTTGCTTGCTATGAAAAGTGCAGGGCCTCAACCAGCTTTAATTCTCTTTGATGTTTTAGGCAACCATTTAATCTGAAATGCAAGTCACACAGATTAACTATCCCTTTTTGAAATCAATCCAAGGGATGAGATTATTCTCAAATCTCTTCCTAGAACATATTTCACAATCTACAAGTTCTTTAGCATATCCTCAGTTGTGCAAAAATGTAACTTTATTGCCTCATGCTGTTTTCCATGCATGACACAGCTAATTAAATGCCTCTACGATTTACCATCTGAAACAAAGTCCTGGCTTTTATTTTTTCTAATCTGGCAACGTATCAACTATGAAGAGAAATAATACTAATAAAATTAACCCAAAATGCCCAGAACACATTTTTTTTTCTTTTCCATTCTAAAGACCATCAAGCAAAGACACAGATTTAAACTGTAGCATATGCTACATTTTCTTGGGACCTAGGAAAATCTGAACGTATACAGAAAAGTTTTACGAGGTAAAACAGATTTATAGATCTTTCACTTTTAAAACTGAACATATGTGGGAAAATATAAGAATATATTTAGAAAATGTAATAGTAAATTTGAAGCCAGTTCTTTTCTCATGACATAGCCAGTCTACTACTTCAATGTGGCTCTTTGCTCTGCATTAAGTGACAATGAAGTCTCACTTTTGGAAGAATAAGGGAATTTATCTATTGGGGGGAAAACTCATTTTAAATTGCCTCTTATAAATCCTGAAATTTTATGCTTTAATTTTATGGGAATCACAATTGCCCAAGGCAATATACAGAAGGAAGCTACAGTGTTTTTATTTTCATTTGAATTAACTTTCCTTTCTGTGGCTTTGTTATCTAATGATGATGCTGATACAAAATTTTAGATAATACATCCTTACTTGTTCTATAAAAATCTACATCTGGTATTAATACGGACTGTCCAATAAGGATTATCTATAAAATTCTATTTTTTTGGATAGAAGTTTCATAATACTTTCTGGATTTTCCTTATTTTGGTAGCTGACTTCACAGTAGAAATTATTTACAGAATTTTTATGACTTACCTGTTTCCATTCTATTATTAGAATGAAACAAGTGGTCTTTAGTACCAGGTAAGTTAAATATGTTAGAGAAACCATGTATATTTATGCAAGAGGCTAATGGTTTATACTTTATTTTCACAGTCCTCGATTTTTAAAATAATTCACTTCTAAATTTTATGAATCTGTAAAGTTTTTAGTATAGGCAACTCTTGTATATAGTTTTTTTTTTTTGTAAAATAAAACGATGACTTTTAAAAGCCAAAATTTTCTATTAATGTCAGAAGGCAAAGTATGAAAACATAAAAAGCTGAAAACTCATTCTAGCAAACTTTTGGTTATTAGGACTGGAAGGCTTTGGTATAAATACATTATGCTCTTATCCCTATCTTAAATTAATATAAGAATATTTTTCCATACTCTATGCATTTCTTGGTTTATTTTCATTATTCATTTTGAACACACTGCTCATTAGAAGACACCAAAAATACAGCGATGTGCTCTTTGGAATGAAAGTAACAGCAGGTTTCATGACTACAGCTCAAAGGTCTATGTTTCACTGATACTTTGTTTTTGTGAGAGATCGTAATCATAAGTAGATTATATAAACAAGTGAGAGAATGCATAAACATCATCTGGTCAAGGGAAAAGAATAATAGCGAAAATGTGGGGATGTAAAAATGATGGAAACAACTTTTAACAAAAGTGGTTCAGACACCTAGACTCCTCTGTGGCTGTGACAGGACTGGGAGAAACCCAAGTCACAGACCTAAAAAAGCAAGAATAGCAAATTTGAGCCTCATTTGAATATTGTAGCTTCTCCAGGACTTCATTCTTTGTAAAATGACACAGCATTTACTTCGTAATGTTGTGAATGCAAATAGTTGTGTGTTAAACACTATCACACTATATAAACGTAAGGGATAGTTATAATGTTGTGACCAAAAAATGGTTTAGCTTATGGCATTACATAATGTAGTGGTTAATTTAAAACCTGGACTGTGGACTCTTCTGTCTGGTTTTAAATTTTAAAAGCTATTTGAATCCTGCCAAGGAACTTAACTTCTGGATGCCAACTTCATCTGAAAATGGGGTACACAGTAATCGGTCTAAAGAGCTGTGATAAGAAGTAAATGATTTGATCCTTGTAAAGGGCATAAAATGCTGCTGGCACTGAAAAAACACCTAACAAGTATTGACTACTCTTCTCATAATACTGTTACTACTAATCACAGGCACATATAACTTTGGACCTGACTTCTCAAATTGAGAAATAAGTACTAATATAGAAAGGTGGAAAGAAAAGTTCTTAGAGTCTCCACTGCTATCCTTTAAAAAGAACAGGTAAGAAAATACATGCCTGTATTCTATCACATTCAGGAGGATAACTAAGTTTGAAGTCAGCCTTAGCTATACAGTAAATTCAAAGCCAGCCTGAACTACATAGTAAGATACTGTCTTGAAATCCTAGAACAGATAGAATCATGGGTTTTTTGTTTTGTTTTTTTTTTTGGGGGGGGGGGCGGTATTGAAGATCAAACTTAGGACCTCGCACTTGCCAGTCAGGTGCTTGTGCCACTGAGCTAAACCCCTGGGCCCTCTAATCAAGTTTTTAAGAGAGGGGCTGTAATAAAGCTGCTTGCTAGTGGACCTTATGGAGTGAACACACCTTCCCAGCCTACTGCTATTGTTATGGGAATAACAAGAAAAGAGAAACAGTCTTGGCTCTTAGAATTAGTTCCAGTGTTTCTGCTGAAAAATTGAACTATAAAAAATACTTATTTCTCACCTGAAATTGCAAACATGAAACATTTCAAACTCCTTGACAGCCACAGACTGAATTCTAGACCTGATTCCAGTAATAGTGTAGCCTTGGCCTTTGACATGTACATGGGTTCAAGGAGGTTCTTTAACTTTTCTTATAATGCTTGTGGAAAGTTATTAATGTTTCACTAAAATATAGTTCAGCAGAGTTGCCTAATAACAGCATAAATTTTCAGAATCATCTATAACTTTAAGAGCGTATATGTGACGATGGTTCAAGAAACACAATTAACCACAATAATGACTTGAGCTGTGAGCATTCTATCATTCTTAAAACTGTCACCAATCCCAAAAGCACATGTTATAAAAACAAAGCATATATGATACTAAAACTGATTTTAAACTTATCTAAAATATATCTTTAATTCAATGGGTAAAAGATATTACAGAGGATCAATTTAATTGAAATTATAGGACATAAAATAAGATATGGCCAAGTAATGTCATTTCATAATTACATTACTAAGTAAGAATATTTTAGTTAATACTTTAGAAAACATTGTGTACCATTTTCATAGTCTTAACCAACAGCGAGCTTTTTAAATGTTAAGAAACACATCTTATTAACAAAAATCCCAACAGCACCTAGCAAACCTGGTCACTTTGCACTGAGCAAAACCTGGTCACTTTGCACTGAGCAAAACCTGGTCAGTAAGCCTGGGAACAAAAGGCATTGCAATAAGGTTATAAGTGAAAGAGGTTCTCTTGAAATTTAATCTTTAAGCAAATTTCAAATCACTTAATATTGAGTTTAAGCATTAAGGCTAATTCTAATTTATTAACACCAATGAATTACTCAGTTTTTCTTGGGATGCTTTTTTGTTATTACTGACTTTAAATATAGATTAATATGAATTCTTTTTACTTTTTCCTTTTGTTGATTTGTTTTTTCAAAAGACTTCATTGTACGACTTCATTTCAAAATGAGAGCTTTAATTTGGACCCTAGGTGTGGTACTCTTCCTAATAATGGGCACTGGACATGGCAGAGGAGGACAGTTCAAAATAAAAAAAGTAACCCAGAGGAGATACCCTCGTGCTACAGATGGTAAAGAGGAAGTAAAGAAGTGTTCATACACATTCTTGGTACCTGAACAAAAAATAACAGGGCCCATTTGTGTCAACACCAAAGGACAAGATGCAGGTACCATTAAAGATATGATCACCAGGATGGACCTTGAAAACCTGAAGGATGTACTTTCCAGGCAGAAGCGAGAGATAGATGTCCTGCAGTTGGTTGTGGATGTGGATGGAAACATTGTAAATGAAGTAAAGCTGCTGAGAAAAGAAAGCCGTAACATGAACTCTCGTGTTACTCAACTCTACATGCAACTACTACATGAGATTATCCGTAAGAGAGATAATTCCCTTGAACTTTCCCAGCTGGAAAATAAGATCCTCAATGTTACCACAGAAATGTTGAAGATGGCAACAAGGTACAGGGAATTAGAGGTGAAATATGCCTCCCTGACCGATCTTGTCAACAACCAGTCTGTGATGATCACTCTGCTGGAAGAGCAGTGCTTGAGGATATTTTCCCGACAAGACACCCATGTGTCACCCCCTCTGGTCCAGGTGGTACCACAACACATTCCCAACAGTCATCAGTACACACCTGGTCTGCTGGGAGGAAATGAGATACAGAGGGATCCAGGTTATCCCAGAGACTTAATACCACCACCGGATCAGGCAACTTCTCCCACCAAAAGCCCTTTTAAGATACCACCAGTGACTTTCATCAATGAAGGTGAAGTATGGGATTACTGTTTTATGATTTATGTAACAAGGGTTATAATAAATCCTTATTCTTCATTTGGGTGATATTATATATATAAATTAAACTGTGTATTTAAGAATTGATCTTAAATGTATCTCTTCTCCCAGCTCTAGCTTTCTAAGAGTTTATAAAAACCATGTTCTGTGAAAGCAGTCTTGCATCCAAATCCTTGCAACTGAGGTTACTATCAGTGAGATTCAGGAAATGAGTCCACAGCCCACTTTTAACCTATGGTGCTTTGCTCCGTAATTATATCATCATGTCCTCTCTGCTACTCGACAGTCCTCTTACCTGCCTCTTGCTCTTCCTACCTACCATCATCCTTCATGATTTTGTTCTCATTCTCTTCAAGCCTTTCACAGTATAGGTCCTTACTTCCACTCTAAAAAATGACTCATTTACTCTCTATTGAGAGTAAGTCTAAAATAGGTTCTCTGTCCTTTCCTACTTTGAAAGTATCTGTATAAAACCCAACTTTTTAACTTCTTCAACCTTGTAGGAAAAGGTTTCCTCCTATTTTCCAAGACTGGACAAATGAACAATAACTTGTACTTTCCATCCAGATAAACATCAGTTTTAATCACTATAAAAACTCTGCATTGATCCTAAGAGCCCTACTTCTATTTTCTTAATTGTATTCCTTGTCCCATTCATTATCAGTCCTGTATCTAGATTCCCAGAAAACAAAGATAATCTTTCTTTGCTTCATTTTAATAAATCCACTAACTTTCTGAAGTAGTATCTTTCATATTTTATTTTATGCTTTAATTCATTTCCTCATAATTTTTTTGTACACTCTTCTCTGTCCACTTCTCAAAGCCACTCTCTGGCATCCTTTATAAGTTGATTTGCTTCTTTAGAATGGCCAAAAGTAAAAATAAATGTATGTAAACCCCACCCATTCACTCACCAAAAAGACAGAACATAAAAATGTGCACAATTTATAAAATAACTTTAAACATCAATAACAAAAACTCAAAGCAAAGACCAGAAAGACAGCTGTCACAAAGTGGCTCTCTCTGCAGTGGAATCCATTTGCTAGTCACTTTTGCTCTTCTGGGTTTTAATACTATAATATTCTGATTCTAAATTAAAAACAAATCTATTCTGATTCTTGTTACTTCTCTAGATCCTTAACTGGCATTTCTTTCTTGCCACATTGCAAAAAAGAAAAAAAAAGTTTTCTTCAAGATATTCTACTTTAGAAACCTCTTACATCTTGATGGCTTCAAGTATCACCAGCACTCAGGTAACCACTAAATGGAGCTCTCCATCCTGATTTAACCAAAGCTAATGCCTGCATTTGGACATTTTACCATTACTTCACACACTGGCTTCCTTTACTAAAATGTCTTCAGTCTCTTTATCTGTCAATTTAGCAGATTACAGCTTAACGCAGTCTAATGTTATACCTCTTCAGATTCAAACAACCACTCTTGGCTCTTTGCCCAAACCCTGGACTACTTCTTGAACATATTTTGTGTATTGTATTCCATTGAAGTTAATGACTTTTTTTCTCTTTCTGTTGGTCTGAATGCTTCTGTTAAAAAAACGAACTCTCTTTTCATTATTCCATTTCAGTATCTTGCCAGGATCAGATCTGGCATATTATGTTCATCATATTGAAGGCACTTAAAGAGTAAGTTAATTAGTAACTAACGCCTAAAATAATCCTTTCTTCAAAGCACCATTCTCTTTTATATAAAGGATTCTCCTTTTATAAAGAATATCAATAGTTACTCAATATCAATATGGGTAATATCAATAGTTACTGAACAGTTAAAAGTTAACCAAGAAAGTTTTCTTCTCTCATAAACATGGTAATCAATATTCTTGTGGCTTTTACAAAATAACATTTTGTTTTTTGATGATTACGTAGTTTGGGATAGATTTCTATAAATAAAAGTCATAGGTCAAATGACTTTAATTTCTTTATTTTAACTTATGTTACCACTTAATTATGCACTATGCATTTGACACTTTCCACCTACCTTACACCTAAAGTCAACTGAATTTTACCTATGTGTCTCATTTCTCTTCAGAGACAGAACTTCTTAGCTACTGCATAATTCATGGCAGTAGCATGAAGACAGGGACTTTTTAGGTTACTGAGACTCCTCTCCACCCCCAAGTCTCAGTTTCCTCATCTGTAAAATAGGAAGGTAATGTTGAATAACCTCATGCAGTTAACACTTTTAGGATGGCTTTACCAGTGCCTGGCACAGAAATGTTCACTAAGAACTGCTGCCTGCCACCTGATCTAAATCCAATTACTTTCTCCATCAAAGTATCTTCCATGTTGCCAACAACAAAACTATCTTCTTAAAGTAGCCATGCATCACACTTGTGATCAAGTTTCCAACTGCAAACAGAAAAGTCTAATTTGCTTAGTTTAGCAAACAATACCTTCCTTCAAAGAACCAAGCCCACTTTCAAGTTTTCCTCCCATTAGTTTCCCTCAAAACAACAACAAAAACAACAAAAACCCCCTAAAAAACAAAAAACTAGCTGCTCCAATACAATAATCTAGTCACATTCTCCTAAATATTTTCTATGACTTCTGCCCAAAGTTTACATGCCCAAATACATGAATGAATGGGTAAAACTGCAATTATTCCTTCCAGTCCATGACACAGGCTTGAAGTGACTCTCCATGAATACTACTCTCTGTCAACACATATTTCATATGTTCCCTCTTGAATTATTAGTAACTTTTCCAGTACATATCTAAGTGAACTGCCTCCTAACTACATTATAAACTGCTGCTAGAAGGACAGGGTATCTCATCTACAGCAGCTAAATAAGGTTAGCAGATTTGGTAACATTTTATAGCGCTTCTTAAAGTTGTCATTCTAAAACCCTTCACGAAAATATTTAATATAATGTACTAGATTCTTCCAGTCTAGATTGTTCTAACAATAGCATCAAGTCAGAGTATTATTAAGTTAGATACGTGATGGGACTAAGGGGGTAACTCAGTAGTACATGTGTAACATGTGTGAGGCCTTGGATTCAATACACACACACACACACACACACACACACACACACACACACACAAAATTAGGTACATGATGTTAAGTATTAATATTCTCAAGAACTGTGATTTCCAAATGGAATATGCATACCAAGTGATCCAATGGATATACAAAGAATATTTTCCATATCTTTTTAAAAATTATGTTTTGTATAATCTTTTAAGGTATGTAATTTATCAGAATAGCAGTTTGTATATGCAATTTTAAATAAAACTGAAGTGTATGAATTGTTTTTAAACTAATGGAATGTACAATTATGTAAATATAGACAATTGCTGCTAAGCAATTTTTATGGGCCCTGAATCTCAGGTGGATGATAGTACCAATTTCAATATACATGATTAGTAACATATTTATATACTTGGAAACTGAAAATGCTTACATAAAACAAAAATATCAGTTCTAAGTTTTGTTGTATAGTGAGGTTTAGTACAAAAACCACTAATATTAAAGAATTAAAGTTCATGCTAAAGTCAAAAGTACCCAAACAATTATATATCCTCAATAAACCAATCTTTAATGCAAAAATTAAAGACGTATTGATAAGTTTTAATTTTACTCAGTTGCTTTAAACATTTTTCCCTTATTCTATAAATGTGATCTATTAAATTCAAGGGAATAATTAGCTATACCATAAGAAGTATCATACCAACCAGGTGTGGTGCTGCACTCCTGTAGTCCCAGCACTAGGGAAGCTGAGCAGGAGGATCGTTGCAAGTTTGAGACCAGCCTGCGCTACAAAGTGAGCTCAAGGCCAGCCTGAACTGCATAGCAAAACCCTGTCTCAAAAAGATAAAAGAATTATCACACCAGTAAACTAATAAGAGAGCACAAAATTGCCAGATTTGAGGGAGTGGTAAATGATGAATTCTCTACAAGTAGATTTTATAACAAATAATTTTATACTTTCTTTTGGAATAGCTATAAGACAAAGGCACTTTTTAAAAAAAAACCATGAATTTCTAGAATGCTTTTCAGAATTATTACCTTCTTTCTACCTTAAAAATGAAACATTTGGGAACATAACCATACACCTGCAAAGTTATCATCAAGAAAATTCTCAACTGTTACTGTTTTCAGTGGCTGCTCTATAGGTTAGTATTTTATAAAAGAAATCATTATTTTTGCAAGTAGTAGATTTATAAAAATGTTCATTCCTTGTACATGAGTGGAGTAAAGAAAAGTTCTTCCAAAGGATTAAACTCAAAGATCTAAATACCAGGAAAACTGGATTCTGGTCAGACTTTTCTAAGACCTAGCTGACTTTCTACTGTAAAAAATGTTTTCTGGTAGAGATTGTGATAGTAACTGGATGAGGTGGCACATGTGAAAATACAATGTATAACTTGGTCTAACCATCACAAATTTTTAGACTTGTAAAAATGATTTTAAATTTACTTACCTTGCCATGTTAATAAATACAATGCAGGCTTAAAAACGTAAATTTGCAGAATAATCGTTAAGACATTAAAATATGCTTTTTAGTGATGGTTGTTTCAAATTACAGAATCACACACGCAAAACCCATGTATAATGATGAATTCAGGAAGTGATTACCTCTGAAGAAACTGTTGTAACTAGTGGGAGGGCCAAAACCATGTATAACTGCTTTATGACAATTTATTCACTACAGATTAGTAAAAAGATACTGATCTCATTAGAAATAATCACAAAATACTTACATTTTAAAATTATCTATAATGTCTCTTATTAGTAAATTTTTAAGTGCTACTGGTTTCAGTAGAATACTTATTAACACTTTAAACAAAAAAGTTCAACAAGAAAAACAGCCAGATTCATTAAGCAAAGAATCTGCTGGAATATGATTGTTAATTAGTTATAGAAAAATGATAAATTGTTTAGTAATGTAAAACAAAAAAGCTTGTTTCACTGCAGTTTAAACATATATCTTAAACACACATGGAACAAATGGCATTTGCCAAACACAAATTAAGAAATGTAATTTAATAAAAAAACTGAAATGCCCTCAAATGTAAAATATTTTGAGTGTCATTGGAAAGTTTCAATTTTAAAACCTATCCAAATATTCTAAAATCCAAAATTTCCAAAATTGGAAATACTGTCCAAGAATTCTGGGCAAGGCATACTCAACCTGGATTTTGTCTGCATTCAAAACCTGGACATTCCTTATATTTTGCAGGAATTCAAATAAACTTATGAAAGTCCAACTTTTGACTGTATACTTACATATAAAATGTAAACTGTCTAAACTACTCAAATGAATACATAATAAACATTCACACAGAAGACACGACAACAGCACAAAGAGACAGTCACAGTGTGCAAATTTCTGAAATGGAAGATTTCTGTGCATTACAATAAAATTTTTTCATGTGTAAAAAAACTAGAGTACCAGTAAGTTTTCAAATAAGAACAATGATCTTCAGATATACTTTTTTCATAATTTAGGGAAAAATATGACTAACTTTGGAAACAATCACAATGGCAACACTTTTAAAGCAAAGCAGTGAAACAAATGACTGAATAGGCTCCACAGTCTAAAGATCTCTTCAGTGTCATCTTCAGTCATTTGTATTTCAGACTTAAGAAATCTGTAACTGCTCTTAAAACCAATCACCCTCCTTGCTTTTTTGCCTCACCCTGTTAACCATGTGTGTTCTGGGTCAGACCTTCTGTCCCAACAGCCTCTTCCTCAATCTTCAAAGCTTCAAAGTATCTCAACTATTTCTCAGACATTGTTACCATATGTCCTGTACACAACTCAGTCAAAGAATGCAGAACTGAGCACATTATAGAAATCACTGCTACCAGGAATCATTTAGTTCCATAAAAAAATCTGAGGGTCTATTAGGCTCAAACTGAATATAAAACAAGATATAGTTCTTACCGATGAGTAAACAAATGTATTACCATTCATTATACAAAACAATCCAATTTTAGAAATCAAACTTCACTTTTTCTTTCATTTCTTTTCTATATAGGACACAAAGGATTCAAAAATTTCATCCTGAAACATACTTTCTCCATCCTTCTCTGACTTGACTACAATGCATATTTCTATCATGTAAAGTTAGCTCATACATGATTGGAGGAAGGAGACTATCAACAGAGGTGATGCTAGTTTACATGGAATTCCCCCCCAACACATTAATGTTTTGTATTACAAGTAACTTATGTTGAACATAAAATATTCTAACAGCTAAAATCAGCTGCTGTTTTTAGTGCATGAATTGTAGAACATAAGGTTTTTCTACAATACATTATTTCTCTGCAGTAGAAATTTTTATACATAAATTTTTGATTAGTCATTTTATTAATTTAAAAATATATTAGTAAGATGCAATTATATAGAGATCAGAATAAAAGAAAAGAGATTAACAGTAATTGATAATTATTTTTTACACATTATGTTAAAAGTTTTTAAAGCTTTGACCAAGATGAGTCTATCCAGGAATATGAGATTGATTTAATATTAAATATATAATCAACATAATTTCCTATTTTAGTATATAAAAACAACAAAAACCTCCTCAGCAAGCTAAGAATACAAAGATCAAGAATTTTAAAGCAGTTATTATAGCAGTATTTGACATTCACAATGAATGCAAAAATAAGGAAATACCAGAAGAGAAAAATGAACAATAGTGAAACTCCAGAACCTCCAATTTCTCATTTGTTTAAACTAGCAAGATACAGTGCTTACGTACACTATAAATTTTACAAACCTGCAACAGTGAAATATTTATGCAACGTAAGATATAAAAAGATAAGTATGTTTTCTGGATTTCTATATTTTCAATTTCCTTGTATTTCAAACGGGGGAAAAAATTGAGCCATTCATTTAATTAAAAAAGTTATTGTAGGTATACTAAGAGTTAAAATAGTGAGACATGACTGAGAACAGTAACAAAAATGGTTTCATTCAAGGAGCAATCAGCTCATAGCCTCTAAGAATCTGTTGTTATAATATAGATGTATAAATACTTTATTCAATATGATTAATTTTATACTAATAAGGCCAAAAAAGGACAGTGTATATTCTAGGCACGGTATACATAACACATTTCTTAAAATTTCAACAATGTCATTATCCTTATAGAATAGGATTCTTACATGAATTTTTTGTTTTCACACAATTTCTAAAAAAATATATGTACATCAGACTTTTAAAAGTAGCAAAATGTAAAATTTGACTATAGGAATTTTTATGCTTTGTTCTAATAAAGATTTCTGATAATTCAGAATCATAATATTTTGCCTGCTTATGCAAAGGCTCAAACACTAGTGAAGCATGAAACTGAAGGATATTTAGTAAAACTAGAAGCTATCTTTCTCTAGATCCCCACAGCATAGAAAGTACAAATTCAAGAATGAGACTTTACATCTGATTTTACAAAGTACTTTGTCACTTAATAAAAATTTGAAGAACTTATCAGTTGATTAAAAATAGCATATCTAAGCTGGGAGTGGTAGTACAGCCTGTAATCCCAGTACTTGGGAGGCTGAGACAGGAGGATCACCAAAAGTCTGTGGCCAGCCAGAACTGTAAGTGAAACTCTGACTAAAAAAAACAAAAACAAAAACAAAAAAAGTTCTATTTGTGGGACCATCTATAAACTATCATGGGGTCATTGCATGAATGTGATAAAATTGCTATTTGGTCATGAACTGGTACAATGCTTTAGAAAGGCATTCTGACGCCGAGCCAGGGAGCTGATTCAGTGGTAGAGCACTTGCCTAGTGCATGCAAGACCCTGGGCTCAATCCCAGCACCAAAAATTGAGTGGCAGCAGCAGGAGGGAGCACTTAGGTTAACACTTCTGAAATGTACTTTTATGGGCTATTAAGAAACATATATATGGGATGAAATTTCAGACTTAGTTAAGTTTGGGAACTCATTTATTTCAGGTCTTCTTAGTCTTTAATATAAGAATGTATATAGTGAGCTTCCAAAAAGGAAATAATATTTAGCATTTCTAACACTTAACTTTAATACTCAATTTTTATTGAATATCTCAAAGGACTAGTGTGTTCCACTGAAATCAAATTTTAGGAACTGTAAACTGAATAGGGGGATATACTTACTTGATCCAGTATGTCAATCCCACAATAAAAGAAGCCAGTAAGAGTGAAGATACTCTGTATAGTATACTATTAATTATAACAGCAAAATTTAGAATGGAACTTTAATAAAGATTGATATATCAATGTCAAGGACAGCATACATTTACTGTTAAGTGCTAGAAGGGAGATTCTAGATCCATAGAAATGTTTATTGAATTAAAGACATAATCCAATTTTCTACTTGTTTTAGGATTATAACAATATAAAAGTGTTTATATACAAACAAGACAGAGAAGAGTGGAAAATGAAACAAGTTAATGTTCCAAATAGTGGGACTGGAGTAATTCTTTTAGCTTAACTTTTATAGTACTATGTACACAACAGATAAAAAGTGGTAGCTGTAAAGAAAAACATAAAGGTAAGAATCTTGATTAAAAACTATTTTAACATCTTTTTTGTCATATTAAATTTCCTGGTAATCAATGATATTTAAATTACAGGACCATTTAAAGACTGTCACCATGCAAAGGAAGCTGGGCATTCAGTCAATGGGATTTATATGATTAAACCTGAAAACAGCAATGGACCAATACAATTATGGTGTGAGAACAGTTTGGATCCTGGGGGTTGGACTGTCATTCAGAAAAGAGCAGACGGCTCTGTCAACTTCTTCAGAAACTGGGAAAACTACAAGGTAAAATCAGTGAGCTAAAACCTATGGAAGGGGAACAAAGACATTCTTGCAGTAGTAGCCATTCTTTCCATGCAATAAATAAGATACAGAATTAACTATTGAAATGATTTTCATAATCTAGCTATATTTGTGAAAAAGACTGCTTGCTCTAGTTTTAATATCCAAGTTAAAAAGCAAGGTAAAGATACTCTTTAAAATGCACTCCTTGGGTCTGGATGATCTATAATTATACCTTGCAAACATTACTCATTTCTATTTTTAAAGACCTTTGTAACTTCAAACATACTTAGGCAATAATAAAGTATAGGGCTTTAAAAATATGAACCCCTTTCTTGGAGTATATTATTTCTGATAACTGTTAAATTTATGACACAACATGGGCTACCAGGGAGAATGATGTACACCAAGATTTTCATATAGAACCAGATCATATTGTAAGTTTTGGAAGGTAAATGATTGGTCTTGGTTAATGATTTTGATGTTCGTAATGCTAATTTTGTGAGTGGCATACATACATCTTCACTTACAGGATGGCAGACAGGAAAAATTACATTTCCAAATGGTGAATTCCCTATTCAAAGTCGTGAAGCAGCATGTGATTACTCAGTCTTAGGTGAAAATTTACAGGCAGTTAAGAATACAAAATTAATACACACAAATCAGAAGTTGTATAAATTTCTAAACTTAGAATTTAGCACAAATGTGGGTGGGAGCATGGTTCCTACATAAGATCAAATCTACTAAAGGTATTTTGCTACACATCTAAACTGTCAAATGTTTATGGAAATAGGGTAATTTGCTTTAGCAAACTGATGTGCAACTTTTCAAAGAGGAATTCTGAAGGTAATTATAGTACTTTATCTTCTTACATTTACTAATTTTACATATAGTCAAGTTAAAGCAGATAGTTTGGAACCAGGTATGATGCCACATGCCATTAATCCCAGCATTTTGGAAGACAGGGCAATTTAGTAATTTGACCCTGTCTCAAAATAAAAAATACAAATGGGCGGGGGATGTAGCTCAGTACTAATGCCGAGTTTAATCCCTAGTACCACAGGGGAAGGAAGGAAGGAAGGAAAATTACATATAATGCATGCTATTGTTCTCCTTGAATCACCTTAATATTATCGGATACCCTCTTTTCACATACTTTTACAGAAAAAGAAAAGACTCTGGATGAGTATCAGAGTAGGGACCTAACTTTTTAAGGATCTTGGTAGTTTATCAAATAATGGTTTTTAAATAAATAAATTTGATTTTGTTTTGCCTTTGTCTTACCTGTAGGATTTGAAGTTGGCTATGCAAATAAATACTGACATTTTAAGAGCAAGCAAAGCAAAACAAAATGACAATGTAGAGCTTATAAAAATCAGGTCATCTACTAAAATGGAAGTCCACATTACTACTGAAACAGCAACCATCTTTATGTTACTGGATGTTAAAAAGTTATCTACAGAATACCAGTATTTACTAACTCTCACTTGTTTACACACTAATGTTTCTTTATTAACAGAAAGGATTTGGAAATATTGATGGTGAATATTGGCTTGGACTAGAAAATATCTATATGCTTAGCAATCAAGATAATTATAAATTGTTGATTGAATTAGAAGACTGGAGTGATAAAAAAGTCTATGCAGAATATAGTAGCTTTCGTCTAGAACCTGAAAGTGAATTCTACAGACTGCGCCTGGGAACTTACCAGGGAAACGCAGGAGATTCTATGATGTGGCACAATGGTAAACAATTCACCACACTGGATAGAGATAAAGATATGTATGCAGGTGAGTAAAAAGGTAAACAAAACAAAACAAAACAAAAAACCCAATTTGACAGAATCATCACTTTCTGTGCATTAAACAGAACCTGGTTATTAAAATATGTGATACTAAAAATCTTTCAAAAGAGGTCATTTTGGATACAAAGCACATAAAATCTATTGAAAAAAACAGCTTTTAGGATCTGTTCTATAGGTGTGATATTTGTGAAAAACAAGATTGGGGGGTGGGGGACCAAAGCCAAACCAAAACACATTCATGAGGAAATAAAGCAGCCACAGATTTATGTACTAACTGGACAACTACCATGTACCAAACACTACTGTGGTACATTGTGCCAGAAATATGGCAGTGAACACACTTGTGCCCTTTGGAGCTTACCTCTAAGAAGAGGAGATGAAATGATTTATTATTATTTTTTAGAATATATATAAATAAAACAAGAAAACATAAGAAAGTGACAGGCAGAAGGCCTGGGGGTGGGTGCAATTGAGTTAGGAATGGCAAATACAAGAAGAAACGGTCTGACTAAAGTTCTGCAAGAAGAGGAGGCAAGCCAAATGGTATGTAACATAAAAGCAGAGGGAAGAGCAAGATGACTGTGAAATGTGACACAAAGGAAGAAGAAATATTTTCATTAGAACAATCTAATCAGACCATCCATATAATCTGAAATTTAATTCCATATACCCTGCCTTTTAAACCTAGTTTCTGGCACTAAAGAGGTATCTAATCTGAAAATGATTCATTTTTCCTTCAACTGTTATCTTAGCAAGCAGCACATAGGTCTCTAAGTTAGCCTATTTCACACTGGCCTAAGTAGGTAAAAAGAGATGACCATAATTTCTGTCTGCTTGTGTAGAGAAACTTACCTACTGCTGGTAAAGTTGTCACTGTGTTACATTTTTACTAATTTAGGAATTCAATCTTCCTCTGACTTTACTTTTTTCTTTAGTCAACACTATATCTTTCCTTTCCCAATCTCTTCCTCTATATCTCTATGTATAAACACTGCATTTTATTTACCCTAATAACTAGAAAAGTAAATCTCTTTTAAAAGTACATAATAAGCAAGCAAAAAAGGCAATTGAAGTTAACTTTTTAAGTACAGGAGAAAGGTAATAGAATGAAAGAAAATTATTAATTACTAAGAAAACAGTATGGGAAAATCAAATTGAATTATTCCAAAGCAGAGTAAGTTTTTGATGATTTGCAAAATACCATACTTAGAAGGAACTTTTACTATGGTATCTTTTTTTCCTCAAAGGCAACTGTGCTCACTTCCATAAAGGAGGCTGGTGGTACAATGCCTGTGCGCATTCCAACCTGAATGGAGTGTGGTACAGAGGAGGCCACTACAGAAGCAAACACCAAGATGGGATTTTCTGGGCCGAATACAGAGGCGGGTCCTACTCCTTGAGAGCAGTTCAGATGATGATCAAGCCTATTGACTGAGGAGAGATGATCTCCAATTTAAACGACACAAAACTCTGATTTTTCAGTTCCCCAAATTGTAAATGCTATGTGTATATTACTTTGCAAAATGTATTTCTATAGTTTGTAAAGTGAATTTTGTTGTAACTATAAAAAAGATCTGTGAATGTAGTTTCACCTTCCTTGAGTGTACTACAGATAATTATTTGTATCTATATTCTAGTTATTTCAAAAATTATATTGATTGAACACAGGCAAAGTTTGTTTTCTAAAATGTAAATATTTGTCACGATGTAAAGCAAATCTTAGATTTATTTTAAATTGAAACTACATGTTCAAGATATTTAACAATTTACTTTAAAACTATGAGAATGATCTAATTTCCAATGAAAAAATAATTTTAAGATTTCAGTTAAGTAATGCATTTTATTTATACAAGTACAGACAGGAAATTAGAGAAATCTCTAGTTTTGCCAATAGAAAATACTTTTTCCATTGAATAAAAGTTCTTTTCAAATTGAATTTGCAGCTTTCATATTTAATGCTTATGTGTAACTTCTTGGTATATTCTATTTTCCTAAAAGAACTAAGTGGTCCACAGTATGAAATATTTATTTTTAAAACAAAACAAAACAACAAAACCTACACACAAATAATCATTATTTAAATGTGAAACTTATAAAGAGAAATTTACAAATGAAATTTCTCCTGATATGATGAACACCAAAATTTTCTGCAATGCACTGAACTTTGATATTATTAAAATGTAGAATATTTGGTATGCCAGTGTTTCACACACTTAAATTATAATTTCAAACATTTATTAGTGACCTTGCCCTTCTAATTTTCTGGTCTATACTATTAAAAAAAATCCTATCTAAAGTTACTCAAATCAAAAAGCCTGGACAGCTTCACAAGTCTTGGTACACAAACAGTGTTAGGGAACTGTTATACTTTCCCAATAATGACTCAACAGCTTCAGAGCAGAATACACAGGGGTATGGCTAATCCAAACTGCAAATTTCATTTTACAATGTGTGACTAATGCTTAGCCTTACCTTGCCTTTAACTCATTTTTGCAATCAACAACTTTATTAGGCATCTTCTGGGATAACCTCCTTCCAAAAATATATTTGTTGCTTAGAGCTGACCCTCCCTCAATCTTTTTTCAAAATCTTGCTTAAAAAATTGTGAAACAAATTCCAGAAGTAACAATAGTTGGAAATACCACTAACAAAGATATTAAAACTGGGGAGATTTGATTCTGTTTATGATCTGCACACAAATCTGTACAGCTGCAACTTTTATTTTAATTTGATACATGTTTTTCAGTAACTAAAAACAAGGGAATATTAATAGAGTTCCATCTTCTTTTACACCACAAGTCTCTGGTCTAAACTAGACTTCAGAAAATATAACAAAAGAACATTAGAAAAAGTTTAAATATATGCAAGAGATTATAAAAGGATATAAATGAAGTAATGGAAAATGGGAATGTAATTTTGGCTACAGAAAAGCTTAAGGCTGGCTGCCATTTGATCAGAGCTCATGCTCAGGATCCAAAAGAAAAGAACTGAACATGCTCTACTGCTGTTTTAGAACAGAATATATATAACATATAATCAAAACAATAGGGTAATCTAGAGCGTATAATGTCTATAAATCAAAGAAATGAATAGAACTCTTAAAATATGAAACGTCAATGACACTTTTTCACCATTAGGTATTTTTGAGACAACTGTCACAGCCTTTAATGTATTTAATCAAATACTGCAGAAAGGAAAGGAAAATATTCCATTAATTCCTGTAGAACTACAGGAAGCCTTAAACTTTGTTGAAAGTACCTGAATTTTAAATACATGTATATAGCTTAATGAAAATTTCTGAAAGCAATGTCAAACTTTGTTCTACTTTAGAGATCAATATTTAACATAATAATATATGAAAAACAAAAAGGACCAGAAAAAACTCAAAGATTATTCTAAATTCAGGTATACTTTAATTTTTTCATTACCTGTGATAAGGACAGCACTGCAATGCAAAAGACAGTGACACACAATTCTTTCATTAAAGGCGAGGATAAAGTCCATTTTATTCCTATTTAATACCAAATGCAGTGCTAAGCAAATGCTGACTGCCAGCTGAGATATTAAAAGAAAATGAGGGTAATAAATAGATGACTTATAAAACTGTATCACACGCAGAGCATGGTGGTACACGCCTGTAATCCCAGCACTCTGGAAACTGAGGCAGGAGAAGTGTGAATTCAAGGCCAGCCTGGGCTACATTGTTGAGTTCAAGGCAAGCCTGAGCTACACATCAATAACTTTCCTCAAAAAAAGTCACACATTGTATTATTGTATTTAAACAGAAATTCAAACAAAGTTGCAGGAACAATGAGAAGAGCCAGAAGAGAATTATTTATCTAATTAGTTTGACTAACAAATGCTTTGTATACTTTATATACAAAAGTAAGTAAATGCTTACTTTTGTTTATATGTTATAAGGATAACAGACAAAAAAGGGCCAAAACTCTTGCTGTGAATGAGGTACATTACTGAATTTATCATTATAGAGATAAAAGCTGTGCATTTTTCAGAGGGGAGCACTGTACTTCAGAAAGTTACTAAGTCTTTTCTTAAAACAAAAACTTAATTAAAAACCTCTTCCAATAACCTGACATTTTAAGTTGATAAAAGGAAAGGAAAGTGGAGCTGTCTTTTTCAGAGAAAAAAGGCGTTATATCTAGACATACTGCACGTGTGTCATGTAGAAAGGATGAAGATTTTACAAAAATTCTCTGTAATACTCTGCTTCTACTCAATAGTAAGCAATATATTGTACTGAAACAATTTACTTACTTTCATAGTTTTAAAAAATGCCTTCTTTCTCAGTAAACATCCTAATCTGGTTGAGCTACTACTGCATCTTCCTATTATATGAATAAAGTAGAAATGAGGTTTGGCAAATACATACAAAAGAGTATTTATCATGTTTCATATAACTAAATTATTTTAGTATGACGTTTCTTTTCTCTTTGTAGCAAAGCAAATCTTCCCATGCCAAATTCCTCAACAAGCCCCTTAAGATTATTTATTCTCCAATGTCAAGAACAAATGAGTACTGTTAATGATTTTCAGATTTAAAACAATAATTCTCATATAAAACAATTTTTTCCTTAAGATTTGCCAAACCATTCCTCTCTAGACAAACTGTATCTTTGCTCTAAGAATTTTTCATTACATTGTCCAAGCTGACTAATTTTTGCCTTGAATGCAAACCAACAGAAGAGACAATTTTTCAAGAGATGAGTAGACAGCCAAGACTACATTTTCTATTGCTTATAATTTAATCCATATTGAGTTTCAGATACATTTCGTACTATGGAAATAAAGAGCTTAATTGCCATTTAATTCCTACCTCTTTTTTAAGTTTCACAAAGAATGGTTGCTTTTGATAGCTATTTTTAGAACTAAAAACACTAAATCTGGACTGCTTCTCTTATGTCAAGAAACAGATCCTTAGTTGTTATGTTCTCAATCTGGACCATAGATTCTTTTGGTTGATAAATTAGTTCTCTAAGAACCTCTGGTAAACACAACGGATGAATACAAATTCTGGATATCCAAAGAATAGTTAAATGAGGCTACCAGTTTAAGGAAGAGTATTATCTTTGAAACATCTTCAGGCCAGCATTGTGCTGTCAAATTACAGCATCTTTTATGTGTGGGTGTGTCTTTTTGAGATCGGGCTTAACTATGCAGTTCAAGCTGGCCTCCTGCCTCCGTCTCCCCAGCACTGTGACTACAGGTGTGTATCATATCTGGCCTTGTGAAACACTTCAGTTTTGATAATTAAACTAGGTGTGTTTTCGTAAGAATGGGAAAGGATTCTACAATCAATGTTAAATTGAACTTTAAAAATCAAGACCTAATTAAATTTAAATAAGAATAAAATACGAAAAAAGTAAATATTAATTGTTAGATTTTCATTCAACACAATTTAGTACTGAAGACCAGAAAATTTTAAAAGTGAGATGTTTATGACATAAATCAAGTAGTTAAAAACCTCTATAAGAGATCTGCTTCACATTTTTAAGAAAAGCCAAGTATGCTTTGGATAAATTTACACTGAAGGTTTGATATAAAACTGTCACTACACTCAAAGGATGATATTCATGCTTGAAACAAACTGAGTCAGAGTAACTTATTTGACAAATGTTTCATTTCTCAAATCTACTAATGTTTATGCCAAATGGCCCACAATCATCTCGATTTACATGTTTCTCCAATTAACAATATAGAGATGAACTATACGAAGACTACCAATATATAAAATTATGCAGGTGCTAAAGTGTATGTTCTCCATTTTACAGTGTTAAAGTTTCTGCCATTTTTTTCCTCTTTTGGTCTCTGATTCTTGGATAGACCTCAGCTCATGCCTTATCTTTTGCTAGAGAACACAGAAATAGAGCTTCATCAATGGAAATAGGTCACACAAATATATTTATTGTTTTGAAATAGAAATTAAAAGACAAAATTATAGGAACAATGGCAAAAGCCAGAAATGGATTTAGTTGGCTGAACCAACAAATATTTATTAAATGCTTACTTTTATAAGCGTAAGATAATGTCACAGTGATGTGATCACTGGTGGACTAAGCTAAAAGATAAGATGAGGCTCAGAGGTTTGGAAAAAAAGAAAAGATGATGAGGTCACTTTCACATGTGTTGGAACTACTTTCAACATGTAATTTAATCCATCAATATCTTAGAATCTAAAATGTTACAAAGCTTCAAGAATTAAGTAGAAAGCTAGATATCCAAAGTCTAGTCTAGATGTGGGAGTCATTAAGCAACATATGGAAAGAAGCTGAATAAGATCACCCCACTACAAGTAAGCATGGATTGAGACCCAGCATTTAAAAGAAAGTGAGAGAAAGAGCAATCAGTAAACTAACAGCCAGAAGTGCAGAAGGTAAACCAGAAAAGACTGGTGCTAGTTGTGAAGAACTTCAAGGAAGAGAAGTAGATAACATCTTAATCATAAAATCAAGATGAAGCTTGAGAAATATCTATTAAATGTTTTAACTAAAAAGGCAAAGATAACTTTATTGAGAAAATTTCTATAAAACAAAAAGGAAGAAAACAACATAATAACAATCAAACACTCAGTAAAAACAGGGTATTTTTTTTATTAGCTAAAGTGAACACACCTCTGGGGCGCCTGGCTCATAACCTTGGTGCTCTTGGCCTCTAGAAGGTTATAAAAACCAAAAAGCTGATCTTTTATTTATGCTTTTGTCAAAATGGCGCCAAATGGCAGAAACCCTTCGCCTTTAGGCCTTCTGCACTTTGAGGACATGTCCTTGACTCACTCTGTCTTCTGTGATGGCCAATACTTCTGGCTTGCTCTGCTCCACCAGGCTCTCTCCCCTTCCCCATCAAACCCCTTTAGATGACGCAGCTCCTGTCTTTATGGCTCCTTCCCTGCATCTCTCATACCAAAGCCCACAACCTTCT